AATACAAATTCAAGGCCCTAAGCCTACCCTCATATTCTAAGTCGCCAATCCCATTTATCACCCTTGTCGCTTTTCGCTGTATTCTTTCCACCCTATCTATATCTTTTTTGAAGGATGGGGACCGAGACTGTACACAATACTCTTGGTGCGGTCTGACATAATTTAAATGCAGCTTTTTGACAACATTCCTATTCTTGTAATAGGCTAGGCATTCCTGTTAATAAGTCTCAGCATCCGGAATGCCTTGCTCCCAGTACCCCCGAACTGTTTTTCGCACCTTAGATCCCTAGAAATTATGACCTCTAAGTCCTTTTCTTCCTCGATATGGTCTAACTCCTTGCCTCTCATGTTAAAGCTAATGCCGTCACTGCTAAAACTACCCAGGCGCATCATCTTATAATGATAATAATTGAATTATATCTGTTACAAAGAATCCCAGTTCACTTAGTTCCATTCCAGAAGTTCCAGAAGCCCAGTTCCATTTAAAACCACGCTCAACGCTGCCCAGTCAGGTAGCATGTTTGAATGAATGCAGTGAACATTATCAAGACATTGCCGAAGTGTTGACAGACCTCGGCCTGGAGCCAGCTGATGGGAGAGCCACATGCATACTAGAAACCACGATATCCGCTCGGGCATAGCCCTAGCCATAAGCACAAGTATATCCCATGCGTGTGGATATCGTTCAACGCTGATGATGTTATTTAGCGTTGCTCATTTTTAACTTGACCTTATTCGATCGCTAGATAGCGGGGGTAGGTACAGCGTACCTGTCCACAGTCAGCTTTACAATGCAGAGACCGGTGCGAAGCCTTTCCGGTGCAGAGTGGGAGTCTGTCATTGTCCAAAATTGCAGACACTACATTCGTCCTTGTTTGAGAATGGTGTCTCAAATTCCAGGGCGCATCGGCAAAGCCCGACTCACATTGGTTATCACCAGCATAGCGTAACTGCTACGGCGATGAGCAATGCTACCAAAACGTATCCACCAATGCCACCAATGTAATGAGCAACGCAATGAGCAATGATGAGCAATGCCACCAATGCAACGGGCAACATGATCCGCCCTGGTCACGATCTGGTTCCGACGGGGGCAATACAACGGTACGTAGTGCACAGGATGCCCATTCTGATTCAAGGTCTGCAAGTTAACCACCATGCCTGGTACGCTGCTTACTACATCGACGATCTTAATGCAATCAGAATGTCGCATAACTTTAAGTGCAGATTTTCGGCTCCGTCGAAAGTCCGTCTCCGGCCCCATACAGAATAAATTCTGAATCTGTTGTCAACTAGACGAACGCAATCTATATGATCGTATGACCTACAATTTTATGACACCCAAAATAAGGTTTGGATTTCAGTCATTCATTTCGCAGGTTCTTACTATTATCCGGAAAACCGTGCTGCCTGGTGCCATACTGGGTAATAAGACATGGTGCGGACTTCGACCACTTAAATTTTTGTTACTGGTGGTTGCCTTTCTGAGCCTGTGAATCTAGTCAGCACCTGAGCTGATATCGATTGGCGTGGGTGCTGATCCCATAAGTCCCTTTAGTCAGGGGGTGCTGACTAGATTAAGGGAGGAAAACTTTTGGTCTTGACTTTGAACTTCTCCCCCTTCAATTGGTAGTGCAATCATACGCAATCACATCCATGGTTCGGATCTTTAACATTCTTTCACCATCTGCACCATAGACGCGGACGATTCACTTTTAGTTCAACGTTGCAATGCCGTTACGTGCGTGCCAAAAACGATTTCGTCGCCTTCTGCTAGGTCTGCAGGTGATCAGGCGGGACCAGACATGCCAGTACCAGCGATAGTCACGCGCTTCCCGCACTCTCGACTGGCACAGCCGGTGTGGTGAGAGCAGGGCGCGCCACGCCGGTGCTGCGTGTTCCGGTGAAAGCCTGCACGAAGGTGGGTAAGCTAACGGCGTCCGCAATGTTCGGGACTACAGTCCGGATGTAAGATCTGCTGGCTTAAAGGGTGGCCAGTTGGAGGGTAGCTGGTGCTCAAATGCATGTAAAAAACTTGCAGCAGGAGCACGTACGGGTGAAGAGCGCTCAGAAAAAATGGCGTGGAAAATTTATCAGGTCCAACATCTTCTAATGGCAAAAATTACAATTCACTTGAGCGGGCTGGTTGGGATATTGGGACGACTGAATTGCCTTTTTAATGTTGAACTTGACTTTACGGCGTCCTGTGGAGGTGGTTTACTAGTGAATGGCTGTAGCAGGTTAAAATCCTTCTGATGTTAAAAAAGGTGCAAAAAACCTGCGCATGTTAAGATTAGCTTGCGTAATAGACTAGTGACAATCTCGTTCGTGCCAACTAGATAAGAAACTAAACCCCTGTATAGCGTTCATTTCAAACGTACGCTTGTCAAGCCAGGTGGCGGTATGTTGTCTCAAAACAAAAACGGCCTATATATCTTTTACTGGAGAGCATGCTCAATGGGGTAGATTCTGAAACTCATTAAATTTTTTGAGAACGGGAAGCTCAACAGGTATCTTCTATGAACATCTTTAAGCTCAAAGCAGGCCGCTGACCTAGAGTGACTCAGATCACCCTTTTGTTTCGAGGAAAATACCGCCCATCGAAGGCCTTGACACATTCAAATACAAACATCAAATAAAACGCGTAGGCTTTGGGCAAATTCCAACACAAATGAATTCACATGCAAGTAAAGCCACCTTGTGACTTTGGTATCTCAAGTCCTCTCAGTTTACAAATTCTAGGGGTTGTAATTTATCACCCTACTCGAGCATGTGGTATTTAACTGGCCAACATGGCTCGTGGCCACGTTGCTCGTCACGGTTTTCAGCATGGCATTCCTTTGACTTTGTCAATAAAGGAAAGGCAGGGCAATAACAGACCGCAAGGTGTGTTATTGATCATGATATTGGTGTCATGGTCTTTCACCTTCCTCCAGCAAACGTCACGCAGCTTATAAACGTTGCTCGCCATTCCCATACGACTCAAAATAATGAGTCCACCTACCCCGGATGCTTGAATTAGTGGGTATGTACCAATCACAAATGAAACGAAAGGCTGTGATAGGACAGGATTAGCCAAGGGAGGGGGAATTAGAATAGTTTAACTTAAGAAATGACAGTTGCACATTTGCATGGGGTTTTAAACCGAAATACTCATTTTGGAGATCATTCGGTGCAATTGACAGCCCTGGCCTTGCTAAGACCTAAATCGCTCTAGTTCCTGAGCTATACACCCGCGAAGACGCGCAAGCTCTATCGGGGAGACCATTTCAAGGTCAGTTAGGCATCCATGGCGCCATAATGGCGTCACTCCATTCCTATCATTCCATTGACCATACGGTGATCAGAGCCAAGGAGAATATACTTGTCGAGTTGATCATACATGGCGTTCGTGAGCACGATTTCCAGATAAAACGGCTGTCGATTGGCTCCCAATCAAAATGGTGCAAGAGTACGGTGACGTAATCAAAGAATGCCGCACTTAGGAGCCTATTAACTGAACAGAGAACTTATGTTGTCTGGAGTAGTCTTTTCCACTTAAAAGTATACCAATATTTCTAAGTGAGCTCATCTCGTCACACCTCATGCTTACATCACCTATCTTCAAAAGCGGGTACATTCTCTTTAATACTGCTGCAGTAGTTATAATCGTACCTCCACAAACACGGAAAATGTAACTTCAAGTAATCAACAACATTTTTACCTGTGCGTTTCCCTGCGCACCATGCAGTGATTAGCAAACCGTTGTCAGCCACATGCCTGAGCGCTTACCAGCAGGAAATCAGCTTTGTCGCTTATAAGCTGTCTTATTTTGAGCTTGTGGCTTTGGGAGCACTGGGCCATTACACAAATCAGCGGGCCCAGCGCACGATCCGCCATACCTCGCCGATGTCAGCTCTGGCTTAAAACGGTGACAGCTCGCGTCAGGTGCAAGATTATTCCGGAACTAGTCTCAGATCCAATCTGTTTGGAGACCAGTATTGGTTGCGGCCTCTACCATTTTGGATGTTGGAGGATGCACTCAGGTTGAAATCTGTTTCAAGCATTTAATGAATCTATGAGAATGGCCGCGATGGATAGGTCGGGCCAGGCCCATGCAGACTGACGTCGGAGCGGGTTATTATGGATTGGTCATGCTTTGAACGTAACGTTACTGCCGCAACCGCAGGTGGTGTCTTATGGTGCGTGACCGATATTACGAGATATCGCATGAGAGGTTGCTGTTGTTCATTTGAACATTGATTAATTCGATTTTTTGGTTATCTATCAACGTGTCTATATTTAATGATTTCATTATAACTGGGCGTCAAGTGACCGTTGCAGTCGGCGCGCCCGAAAACACCCATAAACAACGAATTCATTGTAAACATATATAATCAATTTAATTGTCCAAGATTTTCGAGAGAAGACGTGGTTAAGTCGACTTTACCATTGGTCGTACATTCTGTGTCAGGTAGGATTGGCCACTGCGTCATTCCAGTCCACAACTTCGTCATTCATCACGTGTTCTCCTTGGATATGAAGGCACGCCGGCGGCTGTTCGAACCAACTCAACCCAGTCCAATCTAGGGCATGCGTCTGGAAGTTGCAGGTGAGCTGCTCTATGATGTGATCCACCTGGTCGGCCAGAGAAGGCAGACAATGACAGTGAGGCCGACATAACCCGAGACACCGCGATAAGCAGAGAGCTACCACACATAATTCCACGGAAGGCGTATATAGTCGTCTCCACCGGCAAGCCGAGCTGGGCGCCAGCTGGCGGCGCCCGGTCCCACTCACCGGAGCCGTCCGCTTTCGCCGGTCAGGCGACATTCTTGGTGGCGTTGCTCAGTTGCGGTTGTCGGTGGTGGTCTGAGCCCGGGTGCTACGTGAGCACCCCGGGGTGGGGGGGGGGGGGGGGCCGGGGCGGCTCGTCCCCCGACCTACTGACCCCCTCCGGCGGCCGGCCTCCGGTACCGTGAGAAAGCGGCGGCGCCGGTTTGGAAGCGGGCGAGGCTTGAAGGAGGATGGTGCGTCTCTGAGACAGCAGCGCAGTTCGGTGGCGGTGGTGCGGCGAGGCAGCTGGAGCCGACCCTCACACGGAGTCCGTGCAACCAGGTGAGTTGAGTGGAGGTTAGCTGCCGCTGCGGCGCTCTTCACGCCTGTCCACGTTGACTAATGGCACCATCATGACCCCCGCCTTTAAACAAGCCGTCGCTTTTTGCAGTTGACTTCTAAGGAATCATTGAAATCGAACGTGCTGCCACGCTGATGCCGAGTTGCTGAGCGTTGTCCCACCTGCTGAGCCTCGGGCCGAGCGCCCGCTGAGCGCCATGTCCCGTCCTCTGGGGCTCTCCTCGTGCTGACGCAGGTCTCAGCAGCCTTGCGGAGCTAGCCAATCCCTTATGCTTTGATTGACGAGAACGCATCACCATGGGCCCAAACGCGTCATCATCTTTTCAATCTCCATCTTTCAACGCGGTAAAAGAGATGAAACCAGCGAAAAATATACAAGGGGTATACTGCTTAGTTCGGACTTCCGCCGTGCGGGTTGCAAGCATGGTCCGTGAGGAATTCATAAAAATGCGGGAGGGGGGGGGGGGTTAGGGCGGCCCCGCCAGTTGCTGCCCCGTGCAGCCTTGCAGGCCCGCTTTTTCGGGATTACTTTTTGTTGTGGCAATCGAGTCTTCCGTTTTACATACTTCAACATTTAAGCTACGTATATAAGTGCGGGATTGTCTCTCTGCATGCTGTCCATTTCACCCTTCTAGCTGCGCCATGCCTGGATCGCTGATATCGATTGGACGACGAAATCGACTGGGTCGACGGCTTCATACAGGCTCGTGCAGTCGTATCTCACCGAGCGCCAGACATTGCTCTTCCGGGACACATGTCAGAAATGAGCGATGGTTATGGCGTGCAGAGACAGTGGTGGAACTTGCAAGTCATGCCTTGATCGCATGGGGTCCAATCCTGCGCAGGGCTGTGGGTTACCATGACAACGGCCGCTTGACAGCTGTGTTATACCATGACATTCGTTCATGGGGTATTGCCATTGCGGGTGCAGGATCCACCGGCCTTTTGTACACAGCCAGGGGCATGGTTTCACAACATAATTGAGGGGGAGGGGGGGCTGAACAGTGAAATATGACCTATCTTACCCCTAAAATATGCCAATAAATAGATGTCTCTCCACAATTGGCCCACTTTCTTCGCAACTTTCGGGGGGGGGGGGGGGGGCTGTGGCGCAGATGAGAGGAGGATGGGGATGTAGCCCCTCCCCCAACTAAATAGAAAGCCGCACCCCTGTACACAGCTGTGCAGAGATTCGTGCACTTAGGGCTTACGGCCCGACAACCGCACACGCTTGCGAGGTACCGCGTTATAACGTGCACCCAGCGCCGTGATGCCCATTGACCTGGCCTCGCGTGCTGCATCTTCTGTGAGCGTCGCGTGCAGGGACTGATCAGCATCGAGCTTATTGATTAATTCTGAATCTGACAGCCCATTTGTGAGCGGTTAAGATTTTGTACACCAGAGTATTGTGACCTATTCATCTCACTTTGACAATGCTCCTAACGTTTTTTTCTGTCAGTTTGTGTTTTACGTGTAACAGCATGTTTTTTGTGCTCGCTATACTTTTAGCCGTTTCCAAAGTGTGAGGGATATTTTCACCAACGAACTGTAATCTTCTGTCATCTTTCGCCACGCTTCACATACATCGTGTCTGTAGTTTCTACGATCAGTCCAGCACAATTAATCTGGAAGCACCGGAGCTGGCCGCTGGCCTCGTCAGTAACCCCGATCTGTCCGTGGCGCGATGCGGCAATGTGTCGCGCTGCGTGCGCAGCCCACAGCGACCTGCACTCACGCCTACTTCGCTCCGCGCCGCCGGCCTCCCCGCCGCCAGCCTCCACCGCTCCGCGCCGCTCTCAAGCCTACCCTCCGCTCGCTGCCGGCAGGTCAGCAGCGCCGCCGGTCCGGCCGACACGACACGAGATGGCGCGCTGGATCGTTGCCCTGACGGCCGCGGCGCTGGCCGTGGCCGCCCGTGCCGACATGGAGCCGTTCGAGCTCACCATCGTCCAGTATCAGCATCCGGCGACCGACGGCCAGGTGAGCGAGGCTGTCGCGCCCATATGCTCACCCGGTGGACAGTGTGCGGTGGACAGTACCCATGCGTTGTGTTGGCGACACTGCTGGGGTTCACACGCGCCTGTTTTGACAATATGAATAACATGACACAACGCCATATAAATATAAAACTGTTGACAGGAGATCTGGGAGAATAACTAGAATCGAAGCGCGTTTGGGTAGCCTTGATACGTCTGCAACAGGAACTTTTTGACATTAAGATCACTTGTAAGCGTGCATCGTCACTCATCCTCCACGAACAAAGCGTTCATAGGCATCCTTAGCGAACATGATCCCTGTGCGTCCAGAGCCTCTCGTGACCTGCACCTCTCCCCACAGGAGTACTACATGAGTCGAGTCGAGCAGACCCTGGAGCTGGCAGAGTCACGGGGTCAGGGCAACGTCCTGCTGCTGAACACGGGCGGCTCGGTGGCGACCGGCTCCGATGGCTCCGACGCCACCGTTTCCCCAGCTGCCACGGTAAGCAACTCATCTGTGAGCAGCAGCGTCAGTGAGCGCAACGGTGAGCAGTTGGGCGCTGAGCAGTAATGTCACGGGTCGTCACGATGATCGGCTCAGTCGCCAACTCTAGGTGTCCGGCTATGTCACCAGCCGCCAAACGTGGCGGCTCAGGCTGCTTCTAATTGATCATGCAGCTGCAACCCGGGACAATAAGGACCACATAATCCTCCAGAATGCGGCCGGGCCACAGACGGCTATGGTAAGCGGTTCAGTTGGAAGCTGTGGTGTCACCGGGCGTCGCCGTAGGCAGTTAAATGGCGGAGAGTGGTGACACTTGACGTCGCGGTAAGCAGTTCAGTGGCTGGGCTCTGATGTCAGACTGCACCACGAGCTGCCAAAATAAGCGGTTTCAATGCGGACCTGAGGTACTCTGCCACGCCACATGCCACCCAGGTAAACAGTTGAGGCGAGGGTCATTGCTGTTTTGATATTGCGGTTGGATGATACCAAACGGTGGCTCCGTTCTCCCAGGTAAGCTCCGACCGTCTCTGTTTGCCCAGGTAAGCTCCGACCGTCTCCGTTCGTCCCGGTAAGCTCCGACCGTCTCCGTTCGCCCCGGTAAGCTCTGGCCGTTTCCGTTCGCCCCGGTAAGCTCCGACCCTCTCCGTTCGCCCCGGTAAGCTCCGACCATCTCCGTTCGCCCCGGTAAGCTCTGACCGTTTCCGTCCGCCCCGGTAAGCTCTGATCGTTTCCGTTCGCCCCGGTAAGCTCCGACCATCTCCGTTCGTCCCGGTAAGCTCCGACCGTCTCCGTTCGTCCCGGTAAGCTCCGACCGTCTCCGTTCGCCCCTGTAAGCTCTGACCGTTTCCGTTCGCCCCGGTAAGCTCTGACCGTCTCCGTTCGCCCCGGTAAGCTCCGACCACCTCCATTCGCCTCGGCAAGCTCCGACTGTGTCCGATGACGAGAGTCCTATCCCACAGCCGGTTATGCGGCCTGCGGGCCTCCTGACCTGACCTGGTGTCCCACTGACCCGGAGCGGGCTGCGGCTGGAGCGACGGGTCGCCCGGTCGGACCCGTGCCTCGCATCTCCGGTTTCCGGTCCGGTTTGTTCGTGCTCTGGCGTGGTCCGGTTTGGTCGTGGTCTGGCGTGGTCCGGTTCGGTCGGGTCCGGTCGAACCGGACCCTTAAATCGCCGGCGGAAGGACAGCGTTTCACCCCTCAGATGCCGAGACTCCGCATCCGAGGTGGCAGGAAACTGAATTAGGGCGCTGCGGATGTAACGATACACAATGAACGCATGACCCACTCGAGGTTAAACATGGTATGTCTGGTTAATTGCTCCCACCATTAGCATGCAATCAGGTTTGAATAAATGTGGCCTTACCAAAATCAAAACATGACCTACATTAAGGAAGTGATGCGTCTGCCGTTAGTCGCGTTCATATGCAAAATGTAATTTTGAGCAGGTATATACCAAATGACCAGCCGGACCGACCGATGGCCGACGCAGCGGCCGGGTGGCAACAAGCAAAAGCTATTGGTCGTGCGCAGATTGAATCAACCCGCCCAGCCTATCGATTTTCCTCGGACACAGCACGCCTAAATATCGCTTCCTCTGCCCAGGCTTTGTCGCTGAGCGACTTCGACGACGGCATGAAGGGCTTGAAGGCGCGCCTGAAGGCCTCCGGCGAGAATTTCGTCGCGGCTAACATGAAGTCGTCCCAGCTCAGCGAGCACATCTCCAAGTCGTCGGTCAAGGAGATCGGCGGCCAGAAGATCGGCGTCATCGGCTACGTCTCGCCCTACCTGAATGTAAATGTTTGTCGTCTGCTCCGTCTTGCAGAGCGCACTGGACTGCGCGGTGCGCGTGGTGTGGGTTTTCCTTTCGCCGCCTAGCAAGTTTTGGGTCCTTTTGCCCTCAATGATTAACTCTAGATAACATGGTGCTGTCTCCAGAGGACGTGACGACGTTTCCATACGACGTGATGGTGTTTCCAGCTCAAGTGACAACCCCCAACGACACATTGTCACAATAACGCGACGTCCTTTCCCGGTACCCTCCCCTGACGTACCGTCTCGTGGCGGCATAATGCGGCCTCCTGCCTTCTCGTCGTCCCTGAGGCCGTACCGTTATCCTCTGAAATCTGGCTGTCGTCTCGTGACGCTGTGATGCCGTCTCCTGATCTCCCGATGTCTCCTGAGGCCGTGCCGTCGACCTCTAAAGTCTGGCTGTCGTCTCGTGGTGCCGTGATGCGGTCTCCTGACCTCTCGTCGTCATCTCTTGAGGACGTGCCGCCGCCCTCTGACGCCTGACTGCCGTCTCCTGATCTCCTGATGTCTGCTGATGACGTGCCGCCGTCCTCTGACGCCTGACTGCCGTCTCGTGATTCGGCCGTCCCGTCTCCTGACGCGTCGCGATGCCGCCAGGTGCTGCTGGACGCAGAGGACGCTACGATCGTGTCGGAGGTGGCCGCCATCCGGGACGAGGTGCGACGCCTCAAGGCGGCCGGGGTCAGCATTATCATCGGTACGTGACCCCATCTTCCGCTACGTAGGGCAGACGAATCGAACCTGAAGATACTAGCGAGCTGGTACAATCCAGCAGCTTGCTGTGCAGTATATTTTTTGCCTTGTGTTGTGGCCGTTTTTCAAGTTCGAAGGCGCTCCAAAGCAGGGGATCATATGGCATTCAAATGCGTTCTCCTCACGACGCGTCGTAACGGCCGCACCAGGCTCTGACCGCTGCGCCCGTTTGCAGCGATGGGCAACGCCGGCCACGAGTCCAACATGGAGGTGGCTCGCCGCGTGCCAGACGTCGACGCCGTCGTGGCGTCGCCGACGGAGGTGGCCACCGACGCCTTCCCGCAGATGGTGAGTCGCTCGGCTCCACCCTCGGCGGGGTCCACACGCTCACGTGCAGACGCCGTGTCTCCGTTCAGTCGGAGATTATCCCTGAGCTCCCCGCGTGCGCTTTGGCCGCTCTCGAGTAATGCACGCGGAGGTCGTGTAGCTTCAAAGGGGTCGATCCGCTTGCCTGGCCTCAGGAAATGCTTGTCGGAGCAGGAAAAGAATCTCGCTCTGGTCTCACGAGGCCTGTGATTTTCTCACAAGAAGTTGCCTCGAGTCTCAAGAGAAGCTCCCACAAGACTCGCAGTCAGTTCAATGGTGTCTTCGTGCTAAGTCTGTGGCCCGCGCGCGTCTCCACCAGGTCACCCAGCCGTGGAAGACGAGGGTTCCGATGCTGGAGATCCCGACGTCCGAGTCAAACATGATCGGCGTCACACGGCTCGTGTTCAACGAGAAGGGCGTGCTGAGGAGGGGCGTCGGCACCTACAGGGCCGTGAAGTCTGGCGTTGAAGGTGCGGAGTGGTGTGACGACACGTCGTTGGTTCGTCTGTTGACGCGGTGTCGTTCTTTGCCGCGGTCGCTTTATTCATGTAGGCCCTGGTCTGACAGTGCAGGGAGTTAACTACGCTGGGTAGAGTTGCCTGTTAATGCTTGTAGCATTACCTGCTAAACACGTCACATTTTTCAGTTTCTCGTCGCGGTGTGGTTGGTCAGAACGTACAACAAAAAACGCAATTGGATGAAAAAGTGCATTTCCTCGAGAACTTTGAATTTTGCTGGCTCTGAAACCTAACTCCACTGAGACAATCACCTCGACTCAGCTGACCCACGCAGACCCACGCTGACCCACTTACCCTCGAGACATCTCCCCGGAAGATCGCAGTCTAATGCCCGAATGAGCTCTCACCTCCTCTAACCGCGCCACCTACCGCCGGCAGACAACCTGACCGAGGAGACGGTGCGGATCCTACAGCTGGAGCCGAAGCAGGGAGGGGGGATGGCCGAACTGAGCGAGGACCACGCAGAGATGGGCGACAAGAGCGTGAGCCCTCGGGTCCCCGCACCGGCTCCTGTCACCACTGCCTCCCATTCGGGAGGCGTCAACAGGGTGCTCTCTTCGACGGATAGCCTCGTGTCGGGAAGACGTGCCGACTGCGTGGATAGCGAGTGCGCCATGGGGAAAATCATTGCCGATGCCATCAAGTGGAGGGTGAGCACGGATTAGGGATGCTGGATGGCTGAGGGAGCTGATGCTGGATGGCTCAGGGAGCTGATGCTGTAGGGCTCGGGGAGCTATTGCTGGAGGGCTCAGGGAGCTGATGCTGGATGGCGCAGGGAGCTGACGCGAGGCGGGACGGAGCGTCTTGCGAAAGCAGTAGCTGGTACTGTAAAAAGGTCGTGCAATAGCGGATGAATGGCAATGTTCGTTTATCACCAAGATGTAGAGGATAATGCATGAATGGCAAGGGGGTTATCGGATGGATATTCAGGCGATATTTTCGATGATGCGATATTCAGATGAGCGGTTTTAGGCGAGGTTTTGCAGCGAGAAGGCGCGCGACGTGTGCGCGACACACGAAACCGTACCCCGGGCGCCGTTATCATAGGGTCGTGAGCCGCTAGCCCGTCACCACAGTCGTGACGAGCTCTGCGCCGTGTTTCAGTTGGGGAGCCGCATTAACGCCGCCGTGGTCGGGAGTGGTGCGTTCGAAGGCGTCTGGGACGGTAAGGAGAAGTCTGCTCACACATCCGCCCCAGCGTCGACGCCGTCTGGGCGTACGCCGGGCAGCACGCACCGGGTACCACGGCAGGCCGGGGACGCTTATGAGAGAAGGACGGGGATGTGAACGTCGAAAATGGTGTCATCCGGTCTTCCTGGATGACACCAGATGACACTCGGCTGCTTGATTGGGGTCGGTCAGCTCAGGTCACCACGCGAGTACGCGCGCTGTAGGAGGGAGCCTTGCCGTGATGTTGAGCCACGCATCATCTCAGCGTCTCGCCGAGTAGTACCGCATGATTACTTCACGGTCTGTGGTGAACGTGTTGATCAACGGTCAGATGGTTATCAAACATTTCTCGACAGTCATGGCGGCATCTGTTGTGTGTAACCTATTCAATGCGGTGTTATCAAGCCAAAACTTTAAAGATCATCTATCCTCAAAAATGATGGGTCAGGGACTTTGAAACAGCCAGTCATCATCGCGGAAGATACCCTACAAAAGGTAGCGGCCACTTGCACCGCTCCCCACCAGCATCTCCTAATTCAAGTCAAGCGCCTGTCGACGTGCACCACATGCGACCGACGCACAGCCCCGGTGTCGTGAATGAATGGAACAGAGCAAATGGAAGGGTTTGCGCCGCTGACATGGCTCTGGCGTCGGCGCAGGCCTCCTTCGCGAGAGTGACGTGACCGGCGTGCTGAACGGCGACCTGACGCTCTACATCGGCCGGCTGAGGGGCGACCAGGTGGAGGACCTGTTCGAGGAGGCCATGCGCGAGGACGCCGAATTCCTGCACGTCTCAGGTGCGTCTCCCGGTGGCGGTCGCGGCGCGCGTGTCTCAACTGGCGACGCGACTCCGCGGGCGGTTGTCGCTGGACATGGTATGCGGAGCAGGATCTCCTGCATCTTTGAACTGGCATTGCACGCCGACTGTTGGGCAGATACGCTACGAGCCTCACCGCCAGGCGCGGGACGTTGTGGGCCGACGTGCCCCGAGCTGGCGAGATGTGGGCTGCCGTGCCGTTCGCTGGCATGCCGCAGGTGGACATGTGGGCCGGCGCGCTATACACCTACAGGCCAATGGGCCAACTAGCTTTTTGTAATCTGACCCGCCATGGACCGCTGCGACGTGATCTGAAACGCCATAACTGCCGCGCCGTGGTGATCTGACACGCCATAACTGCCGCGCCGTGGTGGTCTGACGCGCCATGACTGCCGCGCCGTGGTGACCTGGCCCGCCATAACTGCCGCGCAGTGGTGATCTGACGCGTCACGAGTGCCGCGCCTTAGCGATCTGACGCGCCATAACTGCCGCGCTTTGGTGATCTGACACGCCATGACTGCGGCGCCTTAGCGATCTGGCCCGTCACAACTGCCGCGCCGTGGTGATCTGACGCGTCACGATTGCCGCGCCGTGGCGATCTGACGCGCCACGACTGCCGCGCCGCGGAGCGACCCACCGCAGTCTGCCGTGACGCTGACCTCTGCTGACCTCTGGTGCCGGGCCGTCAGGGGCCAAGTTTTCGGCGGAGCCCGCCTCACACATCGTCTCGTCCGTGCGCATGGAGTGCGCCGCTTGCGCGCCGCGCCGCCTGATGCCCGTCGACGGAGGCCTGCCCTACACGCTGGCCTTCGTCACGGGCAGCAACGCACAGCCGTCGGTCTTCAGCGACGTGCGCGACACTGGTGAGGGCGGCCGGGGACTCGAGGACAGAGGGGCGGACTCAGAGGAGGGGCGGAGCGGACTCAGAGGAGGGGCGGAGCGGACTCAGAGGAGGAGGGGTTAAGGGACTCAGAGGAAAAGGGGCGGGGCGGATTCAGGGGAAGAGGAGCTGCCGGCGAGGAAGGGCAGAGGGAACCCAGGGGCACAGGGGCGGAGAGAACTCAGGAGAGGAGGGGACTCAGGGGAGGAGGGATGGAGGGGTTGAAGGGCGGCCGGGGAGGAGGAGCGGAGGGGACCTAGGGGCGGAGAGGTGGGAGGACGGATGGACCGAGGAACTGACAAACTGAGAAACTGTAGGATTGATGACTGAAGAAGTGAGAGACTGTGCGAGCTAAATGGACTGAAGGGAATTATGGGCGAAAACTGGCCACCATGGGAGCATCGGGGGCAGCGGGGGGGGCACAGTCAAATACGCCACGAAGGGAGAAGAAGACAGAAACCTGTGTGGAAGTCCCAGATGGAACGTGCCAATGTCAGAACAGGCCACCGTCCCATGCGGGAAGTTCCACAATGGACATTGCAGCGTTTGGAAGTGACATTGGAGATCAGTACCCGCAAAGAAAATTATTGCATTTTATCACGGAAAATTATCAAATCGGTGTTAAGCTGATCGCACTACCATTGCCAGCGCCATGTCATGCCGCTTCGCCTGCTGAGCTTGCCGGCGTGGAACAGGCATCACACTGCCGACGTTGTCGCAGGGATGAACATGAGGGACGACGTGCTGATCCCATACCTGCGTAGGCAAGACGTATTGACCGTGCCGCGAGACACGCGCATCTTAATGGGAGACGCTGATGAGGAGGCGCCAGCTGCTGCTGAGGAAGCGTCGGCTGCTGCTGAGGAGGCGTCGGCTGCCGCTGAGCCCGCCCGTCCCGCACTCCCCATGGAATCCCCCCGGCCCGAGTCCTCCCGACCCGAGTCCTCTCAGCCCGAGTCCTCTCGGCCCGAGTCCTCTCAGTCCGAGTCCGCTCGGCCCGTGGTCCACCGGCCAGCGGCCTCCCGACCCCAGTCCTCCCGGCCCCATTCCTCCAGGCCGGGGTCCTCCCGGCCCGCGGCCCACCGACCCCAGTCCTCCCGGCCGGGGTCCTCCCGGCCACCCCGGCCCACGGGCTCCCGACCCCATTCCCCCCGCCCCGCGGCCCCGCAGCGTGAGCCGGCCCGTCCGGCCCGTCCGGCGGCGGTGCACACCGACATGGACCCGTATCAGCTGGCGCAGCAGCAGGCTGCCGAGGCGTACCAGCAGGCGGTGATGGCGGCCGTGCAGCAGGCGACCACCGGCGAGCAGGCCCAGTCGTACTCGCCCGACCAGCAGCTGGCGCTGGCAGCGCTGTACCAGCACCTGGCCGCCGGCCAGGGCAGCGTGCAGCACGTGACCACCGTTGTGGAGAAGCCGGCGGCGGCGGCGGGCGCGGCGCGCCCAGAGGCCGACCAGACGGGGCTGGCCAGCCTGCTGCCGGCCTGGCTGACGTCGTCGGACGAGCCGGCCGTCGCCACGGCCGAGCAGCCGCCCCAGGGAGGCCTCTCGAGCCTGCTGCCCTCCTGGCTGACGGCCAACTCCGACCCGGCCGCTGGCGGCCAGGTGCCGTCGACCACCGGCGCCGCCGACGCGGCCGACTCAAGCGGTCTGCCCAGCGGCAGCACAGGTGGCCATGGCCGTGCTTGGTGTGCCGGCCGCGATGCTCGCGCTCAGCATGGCCGCCGGCGCCGTGCTGTGATCGACGTCCGCTGTTCCCCCCGCCGCCCTACCTGGCATAGCCCCGCAGCCAGTGTTCGCCCCGCGTCAGCGGCGCTGGCGCGGGGCGGGGAGTTTCTCTCGCAAAATTATTTAAGTAAGTCGTTGAAAGTAAGCATGATCAAATTCTTGGAAACTGAGGCGGAATTCGATGGAAGTGGAATTACCCGGTCTACAGTGCTGGCATCCTGCTCAGCTTCGGCCGCCTGCTTCGTGCGTTTTGTTTTCGAGCGAGCGGCGGCGAGGATTGCCAATTGTCAGCGCTGGTGGACCTGTGCTGAAAGTGACGTCACCACGAGGCAGCCTCGCGTAACGGCGGGCTGGATCCTGATGGACCGTTGCCAGTGCCATTCAGAGCAGGTGGCAACGGTGACTGCGTTTCGTGATACACACGGACATGTTAGTTGCCTTTGTTTTTAGTTAAGCTTGTTGCATTTGAGGTTCTGCTTAGTGTCCCCACGCATTTGTTGTTGACACGGTACGTTATCGTTATGCTACCGCAACAGGGCGCGCTAATGTGTATTTATTGGTGATGTATGAGCTCGAATATATGCGGTGCGCGTGTGCAATCTTTCCCACCGAGAAGAAACGTTAGTTGAACGTTAACGTCGACAAAAAAGCATACCGGAAAGACAAGCTGAAAATGAATGCGATGTATTTCTCACTCGCCGCGAGACAAATTCCACGGTTCGGTGGCAGTCCAGTCGAGGCTTCCAGCGACGTCCGAACCACAAGCGCCTCCCCTCCACTGTCACGGTGGAGCGGAGACGCTCTATCCCCTCGGCAGCCCGGAGCCAGCTGCCATCGGCCGATGCGGCCCGGTCGCGGCGCCACGGAGCCGGCTGCCGCGCCGAGGCCGTTCCGGGCGACAACCGACGCACTTGGCCGACGCCCGGCGGAGAGTGAGAGCCCGGCCGGCGGTGAACTGGCGCCGTCTGACGGGGCGGGTGAGCTGAGGCCCGCTGGGAGAGAGGCAGAAAGGCCGGGCGGCGGCGGCGGCGGCGCTCACAGCCCGATGGTGTAGGAGCGGCCGTTGGGGTTGTGGATCGGCAGCGTTCGCGGCGAGCCGACCGCCCACTCGTACCAGACGTTCCTGCTGTTGGAGAGCCGCCAGAAGCTGACCTCCACCCGCTCGCCCCGCTTCACCTCCATCGGCTCCTGCAGCGCACGGAGGACGTGAGGTCACATCAAGTCACGTCACGTCAGCAGACTCGTGCCAGGTCCGGAAAAGGGCCATAAGGGAGACATGCGGCACAAAACCTGGAGCACACCAAGCGAATAAAATATAGCAGCAAAGAACAAAAAGGTCATGGGATGAATCTTGCGACGCACAAGAGGGGGGGAGGTTGCGAGCGGTCAAAAAATGAGGGGGGGGGGGCGCGGTCAGGTGAAGTGTGCGAGCGGTCCGAAAATGAGGGGGGGGGGCGGTCAGGTGAAATGTGCGAGCGGTCAGGTGAAATGTGCGAGCGGTCAGAAAGTGAGATCACGGCGAGACTCTCCTGTTTCTCTCAGAAACAGAAGAGTCTCACGTATGTTAGCCTATATACGGCCTCTATGCGTGTATAGAGGTTGTATCCCTAAACTGAGATCCCGGCGGTCATAAAATGAGATCTCGAGAGAGACGGCGAGAGCCCACGGGAAGTCGGAAACACGGCCAGGCAGATACGTGGCTGTCGTGCAACACATGGAGGAAGGCGTCCAACGGTCATAAAACGACTCAGAGAGGACATGGTCACGGAGCGCAGAAACCTGCTCCGGCACACGCGGATAAGGCCGCGGCTGAACGGCGCCCCACAAAAGGGAGCGCGCGGGTGAGCCGGATGGGACGGCGCCTCATCTGGGCTCGAAGGCGACATCGGCGACGGATGAGGCACGATCTTGCCGACCCCAGACCCGAGGAGGAGCTGATCTCACCGCAAATGCCCGCCAGGGGTAATGGTGAAAGAGAACAACAGACAACGAAACCGTGCCGTTGTTGGTAGTGGGAATATACTGTGCATGCTATATGATTAAAACGACGAACAGTTTGATTTAAACCAACAAGACGAGAAATGCTTAACTTCGGCGACAGGACGCCACTTCAAGGAGTAAACGAAAGCTCTGCACAATGCCAGGCCGGCCAACTGCAAATCCCGCTCATCTGCTGCAGTTCATCACACGGATCCCCCCCCCCCCGCCCCCACACACACATTTCCGCATTTTCCGATAAAAAGGGGGAACTTCGCTAGAGGGCCGCTCTGTGACCTGCACGGCACCTCCACCATCCTTCAGCGCCACCGGCACAGTGTCCGCAGCACAATCGCCCTATATTTGCATATTTGGCAAAGCCATTTGATGGCGAGAAATGGTCCCAAAAACAAGCTCTACCTGTTCCAACAAAATGCGTTTCTTATAAATTAAATGTAAGCACATGCTAATGGTCTGGGCTGAATTGGCCGAACAAAGGGTAGTTAGGGGCAAGATGTTTCCAGACGCGCAGTGTTTGCTTGCATTCTCCGTAATGTGAGACACAACGCGCGGGAGACAAACCCCGAAGTCGTCAAACTTGATCGTCTTCTCATGACTGCCCGCCAGCTTAGCCATAGCTGAATGCAGTTTCAGCGTGCGACAGCGGCGGAGACTTAATTTGCTTGACTTGAGACTTGATAATTCTGCGTGGCTTGTATTTTACCCATTGTACCGTAACATTCTGCAGGTTTCAGATCCTGCCTGAATCTTAAGACTATATCTGTTCAGACACCCAGAAGTCCATCCACCCGTAACATTCTGCCGGCTCTAGATCCTGATAGAATTATTGTGGCTATATCTGTTCAGACGCTCAGAAGTCCATCCACATTTCTGAACTGGACACTCACTCATGACTGATTTCGCGGAGATGAAGACCTTCTTGACCACGTCGGAGAGCGAGTACTGAGAAATGATTGTTTCGCCACTGCTATGCGTGTTGGCTAACGACGGCTCATCCCTTATCCGGCCTTAAGAGACCATACAACATTTCAATTAGATCACCTTAGACTCATTCGTCATGAAATAAATCCCTAACTAAAAAAGGGACAGGGGTGGTCCATACCCAGCATCGCAGCCAGCACCCGGCCAGGGCCAGTTCCAGCCCCGGACCGAAAGCATGAGCGGAGCGCCAGTTTCGCCGGCGGCCACTTCCGTTTGCGCCGCCCGGCCGGCCCGGCCGCGCCGTCGCCGCCGCGCCGGTTCCACCGGTTTGGAAACCGGTGGCGTCTCTCCATTACGTCCGGCTCAGCTTCTCCGCCCCGGCCGACGGGCGGTGATGTTCCACCCGGCATACGACCTCCGTCACGTGGTGGGCGTACGGCACGCGCGTGTCCGCGAATGCGGACGCGCTGCCAAGCATTTCCTGGCAAGTGTTACACATCGCCCGGGGAGGGACGGGAAACAAGCGGAAAGGGATCGAAAAACGCGCAGCTTTAAAGAACGGGCCGCTTTAATCATGAATAGACAGTACAGTACGCAAAGTTCAAGCAATACATGCTTACGAATGATACGTTCGGAGCCACAACACACACGCAGGCGAAACCCAGCGGGCCTCGCTGCCACTGGCCCGGAGGGCCGACACCATCTAGCGGTTCCATCATCAGAGATCATTGGGCGTCCCGCATATCAAAACCATGGAACTGCAGTCTTCATTCGATTGAGCTCACGCTTTGCCGCCTTATATGCACAATAAGACCGGTGCTAAACGAGTTAGTCAGGACAATAACTGGTACGCGATTTGGGTTGCGATCTAACCTAGTTGTACTCCAGTGGAGCTGGTAAATTTCTGCGCAAAGCCGGTTGGTGTTGCTTTTCCCGGTTGATCCAACGACAGACCACCTTGTTCGGCGGCCCAGCTCTGGACAGGTTTTAAGTGTTACGGGTAAGGCCGACCAGGGGGTGGGCTACGGCAGAATGGCAGAATATCATTAACGGTGAGTGTGGAGGATGTCCAAGGATGTCCTTCTCAGCGAGATGACAAACCAACAGCCAAAACGGTCAAAGTTCTGAAGGCCCCAGGATGATGATGATGATGATGATGATGATTTGGGCTTTGGGGCGCACCGACTACGTTGGTCATATGGCGCCCAAAGGCCGTAGGAGTTCAGTACATGAGATATATGACAAGAGCTCACGCTTGCTGTCACATACTTCTAAAGACTGCACCGCAGATGCAGCCTAGATGGTGAAAAAGTATCAAGAGCAGTCAGCGAAGTGCGCTCTCTGAAAAAAAGCGCTGTGATAGATAATGTCTGGACTAGCCCATCACAAAATGTACCAAAAGCGTTGAAAATACCTGGTCCGAAGAAGGTCTGCACTTTCCGCACATCTCAGTCCACGTCGGTTCGTTCTCTTTAAACTGTTCCACTCGTACCGTCTCCTTAATTAACTTCTCTGCTTGCTTCCATGGCATTACCCAGTTTTTGCCGTTGGACCAAACTGCTGATGTTATGGTAAACAATGCATAATAAATACCATAATTCACTGCGACTGGCATCCACGTAAAATGCTTGCGTTTTCAACCAAATTAGTCAGAGTAATAACATTGGTGTCCCGCCAAGCCCCGGGTCTGAAACACGTACCGTAATGCACTGCCGCGCTACCGCCATGAATGTATGCTAGCCTACTGCTTCGATCTGCAGCGTCTTAAACAGGCCGCGTACTTTCACTGAACTTTAACAAGGAGCACGGTAGAAAGGTCTGTTACTCTAGTCGCCGGTGAAACGTCTTTTGGACGGTGATGCTATCAAATTGTTGGTTTATCCCTTTCAGAGCATCACTTATGCAGCACACAGCCCGGCATGTGTCACCCGAACAGCTTGTTTGCCCATCTTCACAATTAAATTGCACCCACTGAATTAAACATGTTTATATACCCCAACATCCCAAAGGTCTCAGATATCTAAATAACCTTCTGTGCTGAGGTTCACAACGATCATCCTTAGCACAGATATTATATTATTACATTCGTGGGTATGTTATATATCATAATTATACATAACACCCACGAACGCGCACACGAACGGACATTTCCGTCTCGGACCAGCAAGCGCACAGAGAGAAAGCAAAAATCGCTGAAAATTCCACAGCTAAAGCAAATTCGGTTTCATTAAAGTTTCTTCCCATTTCCTTTCCACTCTACTTAAATTCACAAAGTGACCGTTGCCGAAATGGTAAAGCATGCATAGCCAACCAGCTTTGTAGTCTAAAATGGCCAGGCCAGGCTCAGCCAGTGTCAAAATATGCAACGGGACAGTTCAATGCACCCAAAGGATGCCAGACTCCGTTGGCTTGCTTCAGAATCACGTACACAATTATTTCGTTATGATTTGCATGATGATAATGTTCATATATATAACACCCAGATTGCCAGTAGATGCACTATGCATCCTGCTGGTTACAAATCAGGGTAATTGCTTCAAAACATACACATGTTCAATAGATCAACAGATAAGGGCCTGGTGGCTCTGCCATCAGGGACGAGCAATACACGCGCCCTTTCAGCATCACTCCCGCATCCAAGGGCTCGTTTGGCCGGAAGCACGCTGCAGCCGTCAGTCGTGGGTCGGTCCCGTGACCACCCTGGCTGGGGGCACTCACGCCACCCTGTCTTGGGGCACGCGGTCAGCCAGCACTGCGGCAATAAAACGCTTCGAACATCGCGCATTCATGCCGCATATACCATTGCCAGTCACGTTATATAACAAATGTCAAAAACTGCGTCTTACCGGCCTATCTTCAAATATCAGCAGCTCATGAAGCTGGCAAGAATGTTTCCAAGATGTTCCAAAATGCTTTGACCATGAAATGTCCGTGATATGAGTGATTGCTAGGCCGACAGATTTAGTATCATTCAGAAGGTGAAATGCGTTTTCCACTGACTTCACGAACGGGCAAGAAATAACATGCAAGCTGAAAAGCCACATAAATACAACATATATTCAATAATACCTTGGTCTGCTATGCATATACAGCTCAACTGATGGTGCATTCAACAGCCTTCCGCAATATTCAGCTTAAAGTACAAAAAAAAATAGCACTAGCATAATGCAACAAGTGCAAAGCATCTTGAAAGGGGCTGATCACATACCATGACGAACGCAATGGCGAGTGTTCCAGCAAAGCAACAAACAGCCCTACCCACATTAAGCAATTTCACTTCTTTCTGACGTACCCAGGAGACTGATGCAAGTAGTATATATGGATCGCCAACAGAAATTATCTTGAGCAAAATTCTCCGTTTTTTCAAAAGAAATCGCCCGCTGTGGCTCCTTCCCTCCACGTTTTAACGCATCATTTCATACGCTAAAATGGAGCTCCGCACATCCGACCAGCCCCACACATCCGACCAGCTCCACAAATCCGACCAGCCCCACACATCCGACCAGCCCCACACATCCAACCAGCTCCACACATCCGACCAGTCCCACACATCCGACCAGCCCCACACATCCGACCAGCCCCACACATCCAACCAGCTCCACACATCCGACCAGCCCCACACATCCGACCAGCTCCACACATCCGACCAGTCCCACGCATCCGACCAGCCCCACACATCCGACCAGCTCCACACATCCGACCAGTCCCACACATCGTGTTAGGACCAGTATGAGCGCCTCAGGCATTCCGACCAGTCCCACACATCCGACCAGCTCCACACATCCGACCAGCCCCACACATCCGACCAGCTCCACATATCCGACCAGTCCCACACATCCGGCCAGCCCCACACATCCGATCAGTCCCACACATCCGACCAGTCCCACACATCCGACCAGCCCCACACATCCGACCAGTCTTACACATCCGACAAGCCCCACACATCCGACCAGCCCCACGCATCCAACCAGTCCCACACATCCGACCAGCTCCACACATCCGACCAGCCCCACACATCCGACCAGCCCCACACATCCGACCAGCTCCACACATCCGACCAGTCCCACGCAGCCAAATAGTCCCACACATCGTGTTAGGACCAGTATGACAGGTGTGATTAAGACAATTCCGGTGGAGGGTGGTTGGAGGGAACGCTACGTTCTTGAGTGGCCAAGCCATTATACCATGTAGTACGGTAGGTTTTATCAAATGGTCACAACGAGAAACGCACTGCAACAGTTCTATAGCCACACCATTCTCCAGCACTCCGCCAGATCGCCCGCGCGGTTTGCTTCTCCCAAAATCCATAATCGCCGCTTTTACAGTTTTGACGTAAAATGAGAAGCTCGGCAGGCCATTTTCCGTCGAATGCTAATAAAATAAGAGAAGCATTCCTTAAAAGGGCGGGAAGCATTCCTTAAAATGGCATCACCATTCCTACCACCTGTGCTTTCAGGGAACATTTTCAAATGCCTATGACCGCCTCAATACTTGGTGTCTCACAATACATGTTGTGCAGAGTTTGACGACGCGGGGCTCAAACTGATCCAATGAGTTTAATTGCCTTATACAGGTTTTGAGAACGAAGGTCAACTGCACACTGACGAGCAAAAAACCGGATAACGTCAAATGTGGGCAAAGACATGTTTCATAATGTGGTTTGATCTGCCTAAAAAGCTCGCTAGATGAAACGCGCTATTTATTATTTCATTGAGAACAGGAGGATATGATGATGATTACAATTATAATGGTGATTATTATTTAGGAATAAGGGCGCGCCGGCCCCCTTGATCATATGACACCCAAATGACCACGGTAGTCATATGCCATATGAGAAGGTCAGTCGGGTCTGCCACTGACTTCTCAGTGCCGGATAGAGATATCCATGCGGGTTATCCTTTCATTCTGAGATTTGACAGATTAGAGACTCAGAGAGTTGGTGATGTTATTTTTACGCAGTTTAGCCAGATTCATCGCACGCAGTTTTGGTCGACATATGGTGAAAAAGGCATTTATAAAAATTGTATTCGATCTGATGTGTTACGCCCTTGATGAAAGCGTGTACTTCAGCGGAGACGAGCTGGAGTACATCACACGGGTGTGGGTTCTATAAATATGGTCAACTGTACAACGGTTTCCACTGTGAAGGGTGTTCAAATCACTGTTTCATACTGGCGAAACCAGGCCGGTGATGTCCTCAATAACCTGACCGCCAGCCCTGTCGGTGATGTCATCAATAACCTGACCGTCAGCCCTGCCGGTGATGTCATCAATAACCTGACCGTCAGCACTCATCATGTGCCCAACTAGTACGCCGCACGATGTCTTTCATTGTTTGAATCGGTTCAGTCAATCGGTTGCTTCTGGAGGCATCCAGAGACGTTGGCTGGCCAGGACGTGCGCCATTCCCTGCGATTTTCTTTCAAAAGAGCGCATCCCCCTTTGTTAACGAATGGAAGGCGGCAAGTACAAATAGCACTGCCGTAGTGTACATAAGGTGCCGGTAATGTAGTGGTTAACGCGTCTGCGTTAACCACTGCGCGTCTGGGAAACCAGAGGTGCGGGGTTCGATTCCCCGCGGCGCCCGCCCTTCCTGCCAGGGTGGGAGGCAGGCGACGCCATATAGCCTCAGCAGCTGAGCGCGTCGTAAAGCCCCAATGACATGGCATGACACAAATAGCACTGCCGGGCTTCGCGGACTGCGTTAGCAGTGACGAAGGCCTCAGGCCAGTGAAAAATCACACCACCAGCAACAGACGCCATACATAGCCCCACGTAAGCATGCCTTCGGCACTCACCCGGATGGGGAAGAAGATGGGGAACCAGCTGAACATGCCGGGGGAGTGGGTCTGTGGATGGATGCTGATCATGACGTCCTTGTACAGCACCGACTCAAAGTACCCGCCAAACCCGTGCACCGTGCAGTCTTGCTCGGCTTCGAACTCCAGTGACTTGAAGCGGTTGTTGTTCGCCACCTCGTCTGCGGGAAGGAAGCGTCGTGTCCACGATCACGCCAATAAATTTGGTGCGTCAAGGTTAGATGGTCTCTCCACTTATCGTAAAATAAGAATCACAGAGTTTCTTTAAGTTATGTTTTGGACCTATCAGGACAAAGTCAGTTTTGCCCTTGGTCACTTTCAGTGAGTTTGCGCTGAATCAGGCCTGAAGTTTGCAAATTTATATTGCCAGACGATGTTTCAGCGCGTCAAAACTCTGCTTGCTGGGAGGAGCATAGTTCGGGAGCTGAGCGTCATCTGCATATGAGATGAGGCGTCCATGTGACAGGTGACTGGGCAAGGCGCTTGTGAATAGGGTTTATAACAGCGGACTGACTATGGATCCTTGGGACACTCCGTGGTTTACCGGTAGGGCCGTCAGCCCTCCACACACCACCTGTCTGCATTCAAATAACTGTTGAAGCAATCTGGGTCCACGCCGTAACACTGAAATTTGGTAATAAGCAAACCATGATTAACGCTGTCAAAAGCTTTGATAGATTGAGATAGGTCGACAGCAATTAGCGACGACACCCCTCCTCCGCTGTCGCCGCTCCTCACCAGCTCTCCGGCGGCGTCGAGCAGAGCGCCTTCAGTGTAGTGACCTTGCCGGTGGCCATATGGTACAGGGCCGAGAATACCATGCTGTGGAGACGCGTGCTCAACTGGCTGCAAACGACTTTTTCAAGAATTTTGGATGACGCACTTAGGAGAGATATGGACCTGTTGACTTGTACAATTGTGTCACCTGATTTCAGGCCCCCACGCACGCAATTTTCCAGCTGTCGTGTGTCACTGGGGCTTTACGACACGCTCAATTGCTGAGGCTGTATGGCGTCGCCTGCCTCTCACCCTGACGGAAAGGACGGACACAGCGAGAAACCGAACTCCGTGTCTCTGGTTTCCCAGACGTGAAGTGATCAACACAGACGTGTTTACCATTGCTTTAAAGACATCCTTATTTTCTACTCATCGGGAAATAACCGAGTTGTGAGGGAGCAGCTGGTGGTTCGCAAGAGGTGCCGACCGATCACAGGGAGGCAGCAGCGCACTGCTGTCAGCGGTGCGCCGTCCACACCCGCTGCTCTCGAGCTCCTCATCCACCGGATCGGCGAAGGTGGTTCAGGGAGAGCAGCGGACTTGAAAGTGAAGAGGGTCGTGCAGACGAAGGCCGTCTGGGTGACTGTCCGGTGCTCCCTCTCAGTGTGAGGACAATCAGGGACCCAACCGTCGTGAAATGACAGTTGAACTCGCCAGCTACGTCAGGGGATCCTTGCGACGGATCATCCCGGTTGGCTGACGTCATGGCGAGCCACTTCAAAGTGGGCCAAAAACTGCACCGACCACCAGAGGTGACCGAGACCAACACTCCGAGACCAACCGCGCATCAGCCACAGCGGCGCAGCCCGCGCTCCTGAGGCGGCGCGCGCTCACCTGTGCTGGGGTGGTGGAACTTGAACAGCTCCTGCGGCGGCGCACGCTCACCTGTGCTGGGGTGGTGGAACTTGAACAGCTCCTGCGGCGGCGCGCGCTCACCTGTGCTGGGGTGGTGGAACTTGAACAGCTCCTGCGGCGGCGCGCGCTCACCTGTGCTCGGGTGGTGGAACTTGAACAGCTCCTGCGGCGGCGCGCGCTCACCTGTGCTCGGGTGGTGGAACTTGAACAGCTCCTGCGGCGGCGCACACTCACCTGTGCTGGGGTGGTGGAACTTGAACAGCTCCTGAGGCGGCGCGCGCTCACCTGTGCTGGGGTGGTGGAACTTGAACAGCTCCTGCGGCGGCGCGCGCTCACCTGTGCTGGGGTGGTGGAACTTGAACAGCTCCTGCGGCGGCGCACGCTCACCTGTGCTGGGGTGGTGGAACTTGAACAGCTCCTGCGGCGGCGCGCGCTCACCTGTGCTGGGGTGGTGGAACTTGAACAGCTCCTGCGGCGGCGCACGCTCACCTGTGCTGGGGTGGTGGAACTTGAACAGCTCCTGAGGCGGCGCGCGCTCACCTGTGCTCGGGTGGTGGAACTTGAACAGCTCCTGCGGCGGCCCGATGCGCAGCACGTTCTGCAGGTAGACGACGTACGGCATCTCGAACGGCGTGACGGCCGGCTTGTCCTTCTCGCGGCAGCCGCGCACGTCGTTGTACAGCTTGGGCGACTGCACCGGGTGCAGGAAGGACGTGTAGCTCTGGGGTATGCTGATGCCGTCCTCTGCAGCGGGCGGGAGGCGGGTGATACTGGTGGCGAAGCGCGGTTCTCACAGGCCGTCATGAGAGCGCCTTTATGCGGGGATGCTATCCTACTCACTTCATATGACATTAATGCATCCTTGTTGCATTTAAGGTGATCAAATTCTGGTGTTTTAGCACGCTGGTGGTTGTCAATATGCCGACTTCAGGTTGCTGTGAAACACACAAGAAAAAAAGCTCACATAGGATGAAAGAAGCTGTTGTACAACAGCTATCGAAAGTGACACAGTGATCCACCTGGTTTTTGTCGTTGTCATTGTCATTGGGGATCCACGACACATTTAGCTGCTGAGGCAATATGGCGCCGCCTGTCTCTCACCCTAGCAGAAAGGGCAGGTACCGCCGGGAATAGAATACCGTACCTCTGGGTCCCCAGGAGCGCAGCGTTACCGCTACACCAATGTCCCATCCCCCATCCTACACCGATCCAAGTCATTATACTAGCAGAAAATGCACAAGAAAATCAACTAAGTATTCAAATAAAACCCAATTTCCGACTGCTCTTACACGTTTACGGCTTCCAGGCCACCAATCCCTCATACCATTCGATGCCGCTCGTAGCCTATTTGTGGAGAAACGACCACTGCGCTAGTCAGCACGCACGGTCACACACTGTGTCACCACCACCCCGTCAACACGACGCCAGTGCGGCCGGCCTGCCCGCCGAAGGCCGGCCGGGACACTGACCTTTCAGGTACTTTTGAGCGCCGTCAAGGCACTCCGGCGAGAGCTCGTTGTCCCCGAACGAGCCGAGCAGCTCCGAGACCAGAATGTCCGCCTTCTCCGGCGCCTTCCATTCCCGCATGTCCGAGGACACCACCACCACGCTGTCGCCCCACTCCTCCTCCACAGCCGTCCGGAGCCTAGTGACGAACACAAACGTCAGGCAACGCCACCTCGCTGTGCTGCCTCTTCGCCCCCTCTCGTTCACGCCTCTGCGATGCAAAATCCCACAACGGATCCCAACACCCCAGCCCCAACAACACGGCCCCACCACGACCCCTCCCCCCCCCCCCCCCCCCACACACCACGACGATAATAAGAGCGGTCTAACCGTCCGCTGACACGCCACAACACCCGCCCAAAACACCACATCCGCGACGAGGACAAGCTGGTGCACCCCTCGACGGCCGTTCGAGTACACCCAAAGCCGACACCGAGCCTTGCGGCCCTATCGCAGACAGCAGCTCCAGGCCTCACGTGACGACGGCGTTGGGGTTCTTCTCGACGGCGTAGACCCGGAGTGTGCGCGATGCCTGCCGGGCGGCCAGGAAGGCGGCCCGCACCAGAGGCCCTCGGCCGGCGCCCACCACCATCACCACTCTGCGACGGAGACGGGGCACGGCACTGTGACGCCTAGGGCGGGCGATTCCTGCTCTGTTCGCCACTTAGCAGCGCTGACAGAGGTGGGCGAACTGTGGCGGCTAGTGTGTTTGTCATAGCGCCGGAGTGGTCGCTCCCGCTGAGGGCATCATCGAGGCAACAGCAGACAGCGTGCCGCGTGGGGCGCAACAAGCACTCACAAAACAGAGGGGAGGACTCTCCGCCCGCAGCACGCTCCCCACCACCCCCCCCCCCCCCCCCCCCCCCCCCCCCCACTCCTCCGCTCTCGAGGCGGGCGCGCATGACTTATTCGGAGCTCGGTTCGGGGACGACGGACCCCGCCCGGCCCTCCGGGTCGGTGCGCCGCACTCACATGGTGTCCTGGTCCTTCCTCTCCTCCGGCACCCGGTCCAGGAAAGCCTGGTGCATGGCACGCTGCGGTGGAGCATAGACCAACGTCAGGGAGCAGAGGGCAGCGATGGGGACGCAGGGCACGGTCTGCGGCGCGACGCTCAGCGGCAGCGCAGCACGGAGCACACCACTCCCAGAGTGACCCCGCAGGGTGGGGAGAGGACAGCTTATCATGGTTTACATTCCAAGCTTTGAAATGCCTCTACAATTCAGATCTTTCTTGACGGGATAGTTTTAGCTAGCGCAAGAGCAGCAGTGTCTTAGCTGTTTGCCATTTGGAGATAAGAAATGCCTCTCGTAGCCGTCCTCCAGTCGTTACATATGCCGAAGAGCCATGATATACGGCCAGTAAGCACGTCGTTGACCAATCACCGTGATATACGGCCAGTAAGCACGTCAGTTGAACAATTACCACGCTATACCGCCCATAAGCGCATCGGTTGACCAGTCTGTTATGCGCGACGCAGAGGCGGCGACAGCGCGCACGTCCCCTGCACAAACCCCCTCGCACAGCGCCGTCTTCGCTCTCGACAGCGGCGGCGCTCGTACCTGGTACTCGGTGTACTTGACAGGACACTTCTCGAATATCTCGTACGTCTGCGACTCGAGGTTGTCCATGAGCGGCTGCAGCGGACACTGCAGGTAGTCCTCGTACCCGATGGCGAAGTCCGACAGCGGGTTGTTGGACTCCTCCAGAAACACCTGGGGGCGGTGCCGACTCGGCTTCCAGCAGCAGTCTCCCAGCGAAGGCGAGCACGCCGCGGAAACGTCGTGCGCCGTGCGTGCGTGCGTAAACATGAGCACGACTTATGGGGAGGCGCAGAAACAGTGAGAGAGAGCCTCGTAAGAAAACACATGATTGTCGTGTGGTCACAACACGCGACGGTCAGCGTCAAACATGTCCTGTCTGTTTGTGGGCGAAATTGTGCAGTTTCGGTTTAATCGTAATGATTTTCGAGCGAATCACAGCAAATCTTGCTCCGAATTTGCAAACGTGCGGCAGCACGTGGTTGCAAACAGCTGTTTTCTCCACATGCTGTGGGGGAATGTTACGACCTCACCCGGGTAGAGGCTACGTTGCAGCATGGTCTGTCACGAAGCCCTCCCATAGATATTGCGTGTGAGGCGGCCTCGCTAAGGCTGTGTCGAGACCAGCAAGGGGTGGAGCTTATAACCAACCAAGTGGTAGCCTCTACGCAAGTTGTGCCGAAAGAACGTCTGGGCAGTAAAATCATTTTTGTCTCGTTTTAAGTGCGGTGCTTTGACGAATCTGGGGACGATTCGTTGCGATCCGCTTTTTAAATTCAGCACAATCGAGTCAGAGTTCCGATGGAGTCCCATCCCCACCCCGTACACACTCTCACACGCCCTCACACACTCTCACACGCCCTCACACACCCACACACAAACACAAAGTGTAGTAAAAGAAGAGTGACGACAACAACCATTACCAACGGCTTCAGTAACATGCAGTTAAAGTGATAGTGAAAGACAAAAGACAAGTGCTTAGTAAAAAATTAGCTTTGCTATTTTCTCAATGAGTCTACGCAGCAGGAAAGCGCATACAAGCTGGTGCCTTGCTCCACGAGCCGAGCCTATCCGTCGTGCTCATGGCCGAGTGGTCAGGGTCTGGACCTCCAATATTGCGTGCGCCCGGGCTCTGATTCCGGTTGCGCCACGCCCCCTCCCCCTCCCCCCGTGCGATAACAGTCAACGCAGTCACCGCCGCTCCACGGAAGGGATGTGACTCTGTGGGTTGCGTTCCCTTTGTTTAAAATCAGGCGCACCAGGTGCAAAAGACACGCTTACATTATGAGCCCCTCCCCCCCCCCCCCCCCCCATCACCACACCCATGCACACTCCGGGAGGCAGTGAGGGAGGGTGCCCGCGTGCAGTGCTGACCGCGTCTGGAGTCCAGGGGTCGACGACCCGTCTGTCGGACGCGCTGACCTGGTACAGGTGGTTCAGATACTGCCAGTAGTGCTTGACGTGCTGGTGCCGGTTGGCACCCGTCACCACGAACTGGCAATTGAGCCGCATCATGCACTTCATCAGCTCCTGGTGAGCGCGCGTCAGCACCGGGAAGCCTTTCTGCCGGGGCGCGGGCCGCGCGGCGCCGGTCAGGTACTGGCCCCGGCCGTCCGGTGGGACACGTGGACGGCGCACTGTCGTCATCGGGTCAAGTGATAGCCGTCTCTCGTCTCTGCAACCGGCTCTGGGCACCGGGCTTTTGAAACAGATGACGAATATCACGTCCAGACATGTACATCGCTATACGAGATCATTTGGACCCAGTGACATCTAACGTAATCCCCAGCCAACTGGTGCACCCTTATGGTGTTCCAACATGGTGACCCTTCTGTGTAATCTGAATACATTACCCTTATGGGATACTGTCTTATGAAATATCACGTGAAATTATGGAACAATGCTTGTGGAATATTACATTCATTACATTGAACATAATATTATATGGGATATGACTTATGGAATATCACCTTGCCCTTATGGGATATCGTATTCAGAGCCGACCATCCGGGCGGCAAACTGGTCACGAGACTACCGAGTGAAGCGCGCCGACACTAGCACGTCCACCCGCTGCCAGTCCCGGCTGCGCTCGTCACCTTGTTGGTGATGAAGACGTCGGCGGGCAGCATGACGCACTTGATGGGCTCACCCATCCACCGGTCGAGGCAGCGGGACTCCGGCAGGTCGGCGCCCACCTGCCGGCACAAACGGCACCGAGTTCGGCCGGGCGCCGCAACCGACGAGCGCGCACGCTCTTCAGAACACTTTTGGATGTCTTTCTTGAGGGGCGAGGGGGAGGGCATAACGGGGGTGCACTGGGAGTCGTTTAGGACCCGCCGAATTTTGGCAAAAACTGCAATAAATATACATTTCTGTGGTGAGAATAATTAAATATGACCATCACCCACTTACGCAAGTCTACAATGAGGGACGGGGAGAGGGAGGGTCCAATACAGGAGGGGCGTCGCGCCATGGCCCCACCGTACAAGGCGAAAAAATTTACATGCTCACTACCAGCTTTGATTTCGGTACACCTGGTACCGACCTTGAAACTTGCCGGACTACCTCACCCCCCCCCCCCCCCCCTCTTCCGAGACCGGCGGCTGGCTGCGTCGCCGCCACCTGAGCCGCTCGCGGCAGGAGCCGGCGGCGCGCTGACCTGGAGACAGACGCCGAGGCGCGCCTCGGTGCCGGTGGCGTTCCGCAGCCGGTCCCACCAGAGCCAGGTGTCGTCGCGCTCCGGCTCGTCGGCTTCCCCCTCTGGCATGTCGCTGCGGTACTGGCGCTGCACCGCGGCCGGCGAGCGCAGCGGCACCTGCACCCAGATCTGGCCGGCAGCCGGCGGCGTCAGCGCGGCGGTACAGTCAGTCAGCCCAGCGGTACAGTCAGTCAGCACAGAAGCACAGTCAGTCAGCGCAGTGATACAGACAGCCAGCGCAGCGACAACTGCACTCAGCTCTGGCCGTCAGACGGCGGCGTCAGCGCCAGGAGCCGACGGCCGCAGCGTGCCAGACGGCCTGGCACGGCCAAGCCAGTAATCACGGCTGATAACACTACAGCGATAGGACATGGGCGACATTAGACAGATGGGCAGCGTACACGCAGTGTGCACCTCTCACCCCGCGCAGACACGCGCTAGGCTTCACAACTGTCTGGGCGTGCGGCCAGCGACGGCAGTTGCCAACATCGACCAGCGTCTGGCGCGAGCAGCCGCTGTCACCGGCTGCCGGTGGTGGGCCGCACCTGGTAGGAGCAGCTGTTGACCACCCTGCTGTAGAGGTGGCGCGCCAGGTTCATGTTCCTGGCACGGTGCAGGCGCAGGGTGACGGCCGGCAGGGTCAAGTGCGCGGCGAACGACAGCTCCTCGGCCAGCGCCGCCTCCGACTGCTGGCGCACGGTGTCCGACGCCGAGTCCAGGTCCAGGTGCGCCGACAGCTTGCCCACTACCAGCGTGTTCCAGTCTGGCGGCACGGAAGGCGCAGGGTCGGCGTTGCCGCTGGACTCCGTCCGCCGGGGGCCTCTCGAGCCCTCAAGTCGGCGGACGTCACATGTGGATGGTTTCGTTCTCCTCCCGTCAGGCACGTCATCATGATGTCACCACACGCCATGACGCAACAGATAAACAACGTCATAGATCTGGTCATCCGTTCCACAGATCGTAGGTCACAAGTCATCCGTTCCTCCGCCAATGTCTCGACCTGTGTATCTTATCGCTGGGACAACGCGTTCTGAATGTCGACGCCCTTTAGACGACCATGGATTAACGAGGTGTCCCATAGCCATCCTACAAACCAATACAGCCATACGCAGGCCGACGCAGGCGTGTAGTACCAGAGACCAACATGGTACACACCACACCAGTGAGTCACGTCAAATTATCACACGTCATCACGTCATATCCTAGTTGGCATTCAGTCTAATGCCGTGCCTTCTGCTCACAAGTCCTCGCCAGCTCACCACCGAGCGCCAGTTTGTACCGGGCGGCCACGCAACGTGGCGCTCGTGCGGACCGCTCGCTCCTTCCCGGCTCACCTGCGTTGCTGAGCACCATGTCGGAGCGCGTGAATGGCGTGTTCCGCTCCTTCAGACTGCCACCTATGAACTCGCGCCGGTAGCGCGGGTGGACGATGGGCATGAACACAAACTGGTACCTGCAACGCGGGGGCGTTCTATCAGGCCGCGCATGATCGAGGGGGGAGGGGGTAGCGCCGCTCAGACTGCACGGTTAGCTGATATGACCAAAGGGGCTGTAGTGTAACAGAATGATCGAAACGAGGCATCACGGAATATGATATACTTGTTCGATATATCGTCCTCGCCTGGTGCGCTAGTGGCGACCGCATATCCCAGGCGAGGACAGTAACATGAGCGAGAAGAGAAATACGCACTAACGCCCCAAATGACAGTGACAACCCGAGCAATTCTGTCATCCACGTGAAACGCCATAAGCCGGACAACACCCAGCGCTCACATCAGTGTTAACACCAACACTAACACCTAACATCAGCAGTGACCCAGCAGCAGGCCCGCTGACAGGCTTACCCGGCCTCGGTAGCCTCGGAGATGCTGTTTGGCACATCTGGCACAGCAGTCAGATCCAGGCCACATGACACGCGATCCCGCCGGGGCGCCATCCTGCTGACCTCTTCTGAAGCTGTAGAGAGAATGCAGTGCTTGTGTTAAGCCAGCTGGCCTGGCCACCCATGTGGACTGTGTGTGAGCTACATGTTAGTACATGTCTGATCCTGAGTCTAAGGTGTACCTGGTGCCTATGCCAAATGCACAGCATTCTTTCATCTTACATTTGCACCTGTGAGTGTACAGAGCATGTGGTTGGGTTAAACTACATGTCTTCATTGATTAGGCAGTCAGTTTTCTTATTTTAATAAACACACAGACTCTTTGTAAAACTCAGGGCAGTGCTGACAAGTAACTCCTAAATAATCATGAATCTAAAACATGAATGCCAACACATAATTTTACTTTTAAGCCATTCAAGGTTTAAAAACCCTGACAGCCAAAGCAAACAGGGGACCTTTTCATCTACTTCTGATTAACATATCATTAATATACACCCAAAATACTGAGACATAATTTTACTCACATTCAAGGTTCAAAACCCCCAACAGTGACAACAAACACTGGGTATCTTCATCTACCACTGATTAACATAGTAACTGCTCGGCAATGCCCCAGGAATCTATTTCGCAGCACAAGTGACCCCACACAACTTAGCCTAGACTTTCCAAACCAAGCATCACGCCTCAAGCATACAGGCTTACAACTGTTCAATCTTCATCCCACACTTAAAACATATTTTAGAAAAGCAGCTTGCAGGATTAAATACAATTAAAACTGCTAATTGGGTGCATAGTTCAAACTTCTCTACACCAGAAAATAGCATATGTGAACATAGCAATGGGAATTGTTGCAAGCAAATCTTAGGTCCTCTGGTGCTAATTATAACCTGAAAGAGTAAAGCTGGTTTGGGATGGGCTCAGTTACATTACTTGGTCAATCATCTGAGGTCATGTGAGATTTAGTCCAGTTAGGTTGTCTACCGTCTCTGTTGGGGCTTATATCGCCACATAGGCTTACATCTTACATCTAAATTGATATCTGTTTAAAAATTTATACACACATATTACCAGTGGTGTCACGTCGTCAGCGCATGTCCTCAAACTGTCTACACATTTGCTGAAACACACACCTTGAAATTCAAATAATGGATGGCTGAAACTGAGTAGAAAGTCAGGATTTACAGTAAAACTGAACTCCCAGGAATGGCCTGACCTGAAAGGAGATGCTGAATAGGAAGACATACAATACACACTCTCCTTGTAAAACTGGAGGGGAGCAAATATAATTTTTGGAAAATGGGAGACATGTCATCCGATGGCTACATCCAAATATCAAACCATATATATCTCCATTCTCCCAGTTAAAAATAAGAAAATCACTACCATCTTACTCCGATTTCAGTACACAGAGAGTCAGTGCTTCAAGGTATTATGATGACGAGGGGCCAATTTCGGACAATTTAAATCCAGAAACATTTCACATGCAAACATAATTTGAAAACTCACCAGGACTTAGTTAGCCGGCTTTTTTTACTTGGGTACCTGTATTGCCGACGGTGGGGAGAGAGCTACGCTGGCTGCAGGGTTCCTGTACTGCCATGATGGAGAAATGCTGTTAGGTATCAGCCGACGTAGTGACGTCACTGAAAATGGGTTTGCATCGATCGGGATTCTTTTGGGCCGACTGAAGGCTACAAGGCATTTGCTAGCGATATGATGTCACTGGTATTCGACTGGATATGTGACGTCACTTGTTGTGAGGCTTTAGGGCTCTTTGGTTGCAATGAATGCCGTAAAGCATCACCTGACGATATGTCGTCGCTGGTATTCAATGAAACATCAGGCGCAACGGGCCTTATTCCATCTTTACCTTTCGTACCTGTCTGCTGCAAGCATTTGCGTGCCGAATAAAAGCTTGACCGAATCACCTGAATGTGTGACGTCACCAATCATCACTTGATACGAGTGCACTTAGGCCCCACGGCCGCGGTGTATCATGTTCCGTGAAATATCACTGGGTATCGTGACGTCAGTGATATTCGACTAAATATTGGTCGCAACACGTCAAGGTCCATTTTAGCTTCGTACCTGTCTACTGCAAGCATTGGCGTGATGAATAAAAGCTACCAAATCACGTGAGTGTGTGACGTCACTGGTCATGCATTTTATGGATCTTTGGGGCCAACTGAGGGCCGTAAAGCATAACCTAATGATGTGACGTCCTACTGGCATTCAACTGTGTGTGATGTCACTTGTGATCAAATTTTACGGCCTCTTTTGGGCCGACGAAAGGTCATACGACATTAACTGAAGATGTGCCGTCACTGGTATCCGAATACAATTCAGGCGGCAATGGCCATGCTCCATCTTTACCTTTGGTACCTGTCCATTGCAAGTATTTGAATGCTGAAGGAAGGGTCTGCCGAATTACCTGAATGTGTAACGTCACTAACCATTAATTTTATAGACTGTTTTGAACCCACTGTAGCCATACCACATCAGCTGACCATATGACGTCACCGGTTTTCGTCTAGGTGTCATGCGCAACAGGCCATGCTCTATCTTTGCCTTTCGTACCTGTTTACTACAAGCATTCGCGTGTTATATCAAGGTGATGCTGAACCATCTGAGTGCGTGACGTCACTGGTCATGAGTTTATACAGGTTCGCTTGGGCAGCCCAATGCAACAAAGCATCATATCCTGTAAAGCATCGCGGGATGATATGACGTCACTGGTATTCGACTCAACATCAGGCGCAACAGGCCATGTTCCATCTTTACCTTTCGTACCTGTCTACTGCAGCATTCGCGTGTTACATCACGTCATTGGTTAAGAGTTCTTACGGGCTCTTTTCAACCCCCTATATGGTATAATGCTTCAGTTGACGATATGATGTCACTGGTGTTCGACTTAACATCAGGCACAACATGTCATGTTCCATCTTTGCCTTTCGCACCTGTTAAAGTAGTGGCGAGCCTAATGATGGCTCTGCCGAATCACCTGAGTGCGTCATCATGAGTTTTTACAGGCTATTGTTGGCCGAGTGAAAGCCATTAGGCATCATCTAACGATATGTCGTCACTGGTAATCCACTAAGTGTGTGACGCCATTGGTCATGAGTTTTCCCGCGCCTTTTTGGGCCGACTTAAGGCCATTAGGCCATCAGGTAACGATATGACGTCACTGGTATTCAATTAAGCATCAGATACAATATGTCATGTTTCATCTTTACCTTCCGCACCTATCTACTGCAAGTATTCGCGCGCCACATAAAGGCTCTGCCCAATCACCTGAGCGTGTGGTGTGACTGGTTATGAGTTTACGCGGGTTACTCGGGCTGACTGAAGGACATCAAGCATCATCTGGCGATGTGACGTCACTGGTATTCAACTTAACACCAGGCGCGACAGGCCATGTTCGTCTTTACCTTTCGTACCTGTCTATTGTAAGCATTGACATGCTTAAGGAAGCTCTGTGAAATCTCCTGAGTGTGTATGTCACTGGTCATGAGTTCTTTACGGGCTGCTTTCTTTGTACCTATAGGGTACAAGACATCAGTTGACGATATGACATCACTGGTATTTGACTTAATCTCAGGCGCAACAGGCCATGTTCCATCTTTGCCTTTCGCACCTGTAATACTGCAAGTATTCGCGCGCTACATAAAGGCTCTGCCGAATCACCTGAGCATGTGGTGTAACTGGTCATGAGTTTACGCGGGCTTACTCGGGATGACTGAAGGACATCAAGCACCACCTGACCATATGACGTCACTGATATTCGGGCTGTGGCCCAGACTTATGGCCGCTAGGCGGCGCCCTTGATTATTATTTAGCCATCAGGGCATTCCGACCGTAGCTGCTCAGGGGCGCATCCTGTGATGTCGGGCGGAATAGCTTTGCATATACGTCGGTTTGTGGGCTGGGAAAAACCTCTGTTTTGTGTTTACGGTTGGTTCAAAATTTTAGTCGTTGAAACAGCCCGTTGCGTTTGAAGTTGTTACTTAATGGTGCGCACAATAAAATTAGTGTGCTTAACTATGGTGCATCTCCCACCTCTGCTGCGGAACTCCGTAGCCGTAGGTGGGCCAAGTGACCTCCTACCAACTGATGATCAGTGACGTCACATACTCAGGGATTCGGCGGAGCCTTCATATAGCACGCGAATTTTGCAGCAGCCAGGTACGAAAGGCAAATATGGAGCATGACCTGTTGCGCCTGATGTTTAGTCGAGCACCAGTAACGTCATGTCATCAGCTGATGCATTATAACCTAAAATGGGTTCAAAGGAGCCCGTAAAAAAACTCGTGACCAGTGACGTCACACACTCAGGAGATTCGACGGAGCCTTCATTCAGCACGTCAGTGCCTTTAATAAACAAGTACAAAAGGTAAAGAAAGTACGTGGCATGTTGGACCTGATGTTAAGTCGAATAAGCGTGACGACATATCATCCTGTGATGCTTCACGGAGGTGTTGCTTTGTGACCTTGGGCGGCCCACAGTGAATCCGTATGAACTCATGACCAGCGACGTCACCCACTCAGATGATTCGTCTGGAGTTTAGTTGATTACCAGTGACGTCATATCGTCAGCTGATGCTTGATGTCCGTCAGTCAGCCCGAGTAAAACCTGCACAAACTCATGGCCAGTTACACCACACGCTCAGGCGAATCGACAGAGCCTTTTTTGTAGCGCACGAATACTTGCAGTAGGCAGGTGCGAAAGATAAAGATGAAACATGGCTTATTGCAAACTGGTGTTAATTCGAATACAAGTGACGCCATAACGTTATCATGCCTAATGACCAGAACTCGGCCAAAAAAGGCCCCGTAAAAGCTCATGACCGTGACGTCACACACTCAGTGGATTACAGTGACGTCATTTCGTTAGCTGATTGCCTTAGGCTTTCGCTCAGGCCAAAAATAGTTGGTAAAAAATTCATGACCAGTGACGGTCGAACACTCAGGTGACTCGCAGCAGAGCCATCATTTAACGCACCAATTACTTTACAGGTACAAAGGCAAAGATGGAACATGACCTGTTACGACGCCTTGTTAAGTCGAACACCATTGCATCATGTCGTCAACTGATGCATGGTTTCCCCTAGAGAGGGTTTCCAAGGAGCCAGAAAAAAACTCATGACCAGTAACGTTACCACCCAGGAGACTCGACAGAGCCTTCATTCAGCACGGAATACTTGTAATAGGGCGGGTACGAAAGTTAAAGATTAGAACATGGCCTGTCGCGCCTGATGTTAAGTCGACACCAGTGACGTCATATCATCAGCTGATGCATTATAATACCGTTTGGTGGGGTACAAAAGGTCCCGTAAAAAGCTCTTGACCAGTGACGTTACTTACTCAGGAGACTCGACAGAGCCTTCATTCAGCACGCCCATACTTCAAGAGACAGGTACGAAAGGTAAAGATAGAACATGGCCTGTCGCGCCTGGCGTTTAGTCGAATACCAGTGATGTCATATCGTCAGCTGATGCTTGATGTCCTTCATTCAGCCAGAGTAAACCTGCGGTTAACTCATAACTAGTTACACCACACGCTCAGGTAATTCGGCAGAGCCCCTGTGTCGCGCGAATACTTGCAGTAGATAGGTGCGAAAGGTACAGACGAAACATGGTTAGATGGAGCATCGCCTGTTGCGCATGATGTCTAGTCGAAACCCAGTGACATCATATCGTCAGCTGATGCCTTATGGCCTATAGTAGGCTCAAAAGAGTGTGCAAATTAATGGCCAGTGACGTACACACTCATGTAATTTGGCAGAGCCTTCCACGGCAATGCTTGCAATGGACAGGTACCAAAGATAAAGGTGGAACATGGTCCGTCGCGCCCGAAGTTCATTCGAATACCAGTGACGTCACATCTTCAGTCATTGCCGTATGACCTTTCGTCGGCCCAAAAGAGGCCGTAAAACCTCATGACCAGCGACAACGCACAGTCGAGTGCCAGCGACGTCACATCGTTAGCTGATGCTTTATGGTCTTTAGTTGGCCGCACAAAAAATCCGCCAATACTTGCAGCAGACATGTACGAAAGGTATAAATGGAGCATGACCTGTTGCCTGATGTTCAGCCAAAATACCAGTGACGTCATATCGCCAGCTGATGCCTAACGGCATTTCGTCGGTCCTATAGGGCCCGTTGGAAACCCACGGCCATTGACGTCTTACAGTCGTATAGCAGTGACGTCGCTAGCTGACACCTTGTGGTCTTCAGTTGGCCGAAAAGCACCGTTGGAACTCATGGCCAGTGATGTCACACACCTCAGGTGGTTCGGCAGCTTTCATCCAGCACGCCAATGCTTGCAGCAGACAAGTACAAAGGTAAAAATGAAGCACGGCCTGTTGCACCCAGTATTTATTCGAATACCAGTGACGTCACGCTATCCGGTGATACTTCGCGGACCACGACACACCGTGGTCGTGGGGCCTAAGTGCACTCGTATGAAGTGATGATTAGGGACGTCACACATTGGGGTAATTCGGTCAAACCCCTATGCGGCACGCAAATGCTTGCAGCAGACAGGTATGAAAAGTAAGATGGAACGAGGCCGGCCGCGCCTGATGTTCAATCGAATACCAGTGACGACACATGGCCAGCTGATGCATTACGGCATTCAGTTGACCCAAAAGAGCCTTACACACTCACGACCAGTGACGTCACATACCCAGCCGAATACCAGTGACATCATATCACAAGCAAAAGCCTTATGGCCTTCAGTCGGCCCGAAAGAACCCCGACCCCGATCGATGCAAAACCATTTTCAGTGACGTCACAATGTTAGCTGATGCCTCACAGCTTTTGCCCCGCACGACAATACTCGAAACCCTGCAGCTAGCGTAGCTCTTCCCTCCGTCGGCCATACAGGTACCCAAGTAAAAAATTACCAGTTAGCCTGAGTTTGGCATATACGAGCGCGAGGTTCAGCAAAACGAAATCATGTGGGCGTCTGGCGCAGTCAATGAATTTTGGTATACTGGAAAGCAGGTACTTGCTATCGACAACTATGTTTCCAACAAGATTGACTGATATACATTTACCTGATCCTGAACTCTTCACTGCAGCTCGCGCTTGCCCCCAAACCCTCAATGATTCCTCACACACACAAACGTCACCTGCACCAATCCGGCACCACCTACCCAACCCCCTCGCAGGACAAGGCCCGCGGCTGCCTCGCGTAGTAGCAGGGCGATATTACAGCACGAGGTGCAGCAGCGCGCTGGCCACATGAGGCGCAGCAGCATCGCGCAACATATGTCAATGAAGCGTCAATAACATTGGAGCTGCGGCTGTAGTAAGAGTTAGGCTAGCATAATCTGGAAATGGTAAATGATAAGGTTTGAGTGAGGTACCAAAAACTTAAAGTCCTGTTTCTAGTGTCATTAAATACTTCAGCACATGGAAGAGCTCCGTGACTGATCATGAGCAACTGATAATTTTTTTCACCTCTGAGTCTGTTAGACGGTAGTGGGAGGCAGGGGCGCAGCTAGCACTGGAAAGGGGCGGGAAGCACAGGGTCGACAAAGGGCCCCGACGGGCCTTTCGAGCCTCTCGGGAGCGGAGGTCAAGGTCCCCATCAAGGGTCATGATGGGCTCTTCGGGAATCTCACGACCTAAGTGGGAGGGGGGGGGGGCACGTGCCCCTGTGCCTTTCCCTGCCTGCGCCGCTGGAGGGAAGTAGACAGGGGCATTGTACCTTGATAATTATAAAATTGATTGGGGTCTGAGCCGACAAGGTTGACCTTTGTGTCCCACAATTGTGTGCATGTTTTATTCCGTTCATTGCACACCTGGATGCATTGCTTGGCACATACGTGCCTTGCATGATGTCATTATAATAAAATATGGTATTGGCCGGCACTGACCTTTTATTACGTCTGATGACTTAAACAATGATCCACGGAATGTGCTCATTCGGCTTGCAATGACGCGCTCTTGACGCTCGACGCGCTCTTGAATGACGCTCCCTGGTATCTCGTCGTTTTCTATGCGATGCTCACAAAATGTGGGATCCTATTCAGCCGGCCAGGCAAAATATTTTGAAGATTGGGCTGGGTTGACCAGAATGCCCTCTAACCTTCGATATTTGACTATTTTTACATCTGGTGACCTTGACTTGGGCCTTCCGTCACACATCGTCTTGTTTTATTGAAATTACTCCTAAGACAGGTAAACGAGCGGGCCTCCAGAGTGTCTATCTCTTTCCTGCAACGCTCTCGAGCCTCGTGTGCGTTACATTCGCGGCTGCAGGATTCCGTCCCCGGGCGTTAGGCTGGAACGCCGGGCACACTCGGGTTACTCGGGCTAGGCTGGAACGCCGGGCACACTCGGGTTACTCGGGCTAGGCTGGAACGCCGGGCACACTCGGGTTACTCGGGCTAGACTGGAACGCCGGGCACACTCGGGTTACTCGGGCTAGGCTGGAACGCCGGGCACACTCGGGTTTACTCGGGCTAGGCTGGAACGCCGGGCACACTCGGGTTACTCGGGCTAGGCTGGAACGCCGGGCACACTCGGGTTACTCGGGCTAGACTGGAACGCCGGGCACACTCGGGTTACTCGGGCTAGGCTGGAACGCCGGGCACACTCGGGTTACTCGGGCTAGGCTGGAACGCCGGGCACACTCGGGTTACTTGGGCTAGGCTGGAACGCCGGGCACATTCGGGTTACTCGGGCTAGGCTGGAACGCCGGGCACACTCGGGTTACTCGGGCCAGGCTGGAACGCCGGGCACACTCGGGATGCGTCATCTGCATGTCATGCAAGTGAACATGGGTTCTGGTTTCAGAGTTATACGCGCCAACATATCTGAATTTTAATGTCAGATAATTAAGGGTAAAGATGCTTGTATCTCACCATCCAGGTAATGTGGTATCGTTGACTATTTCCTGGAATTTCTTTTACGCCACAATTCCCTTCTTCTTGTTATGGTGCAGATTCTCATCTATCATTTACAATGAAGAAACTTTTTAGAGCAGGCCTGTCGCTAGTCAGCCAACCGATTCTGATGACGTGGTCCGCATGCCGGACCGCTCCACCCTCCCTTGGTGCACGCTCGAATGGCATGCTTGAATCAGAGGAGCGACCGTAAGGGATCCAAGATGCGCACAGGTCTTTGTTCAAGCATTTTTTATTTGCCATATTTTAGATGCACCATGGTTATCCACACACGTTTTGTGACTGATTTACTGCAGTCTCCTGTCTTTCTGACGTGCGGCTGGTTGCGGGATGAAAATAAGGACACCTTTGAAAATCTCGTCGCCACTGGCGCTCGAAACAGACCATATGAATGCGTTTTGTTTAATATTGTCATTCACAGCGGAGTTGCTTCTAGGGAACGTACCCACCAGCGCTGGCCGAATTGGTTGGAACAACCTTAGCCCTCTGTCCCTGAGTTGTTGAGCAAGGCCTTCTGTAACATTGTGTTAGATGCGTCGTAGCATATTCTTAATCTTTCGAATCCTGAAAATTCCTGCCAAACAGTAATGTTTTCCTCAAAATATGTCATCCCGTGAAAATGGGGCGCGTAAACTATTTGAGCATTACATCACCTGGCATGACCTAGAACCATGACTTTACCTGCAATGAGGCTTTGACGTTCTGAAAACATGCCAAAATGACTAAGAAAAGAGCTACGAAAATGCGGCCGCCTACGTTTGTTCATTTTCCAGGAACACTATAGCACTTTAGGAGTATGATGAATGTCCATCTCCTCAGTCCAGTAACGGTTAAAAAGCCGCACCCATTTATATTACATGGCAGTAACAACGTAACTTGAGTAGGCTTTATCATAATGACAGTGAGCCGCAAATACCCAGGACATACATTGCGTGTTCGGATGGGCTGTTTGGCTGTATGCGCTGTGTTGAGAAGAAGCTTCTCAATCGCGACAAGGCATTCGAACCCGTGGTGCGGCACAAGGCGCAGGAAACACTTACATAGCGAGGATTATTTGCGAGGACGCCCCTTACGAAAAGCATGATATCTCATTTCATTTCTGGTCAGTTGTTGCAGTGCGGGTTGTTTGATCTCGTTTCCACTGAGCAAAAAATTGATGGCGTGGGCTCTGCACGTGAGGCTTTCGCCGTAAAGCTCGGCCTATGACTCAGAATTTTACCTCCGGTCCGGCTCACGAAACGCGCACTAGTTAGCGCGAGCGCTCATCCAGAAGTCCATTCAACCAACAGGTTCTGACTAAATCTGTAAAAAAAAACTTTTGGCCGCGCCAATCATACTGCATGACAAATCCGCGCAACACTTCGTTTCTAAGAAAGCAGTCCTTTAATATTGAATAAAAAACAGTACTGTGTCTTCTGATTCTCAGTCGTGATTGTGCGTGTCAGTGTTTGTCATTGGGGCTTTACGAAGCACTCAACTGTTTAGGCTATATGGCGTCGTTTGCCTTTACCCATGACAGAAAGGGCGGGCACCGAAGGCAACCGAACTCCGTGCCTTCAGTTTTCCAGACGCTAAGATTGCATACTATACTATTGGTACCCTCACCAGTCCCGTGAACCTACACGTGCTGAACCATCCCTTCTTTTCCATCAGAACAGGTAAACGGAGTTCTGAATGAGATCTCACAATGGCGTCGCAAGTTATCATTTGAACAACGCATCAGATGCGCAAGGAAGTCGCAGAAAAGCAAAATAAACGGACCGTGTCTACCTTAAATTGCCGTTCATCCAAGGTGACTCAGATAAAAGTTAGCCCGCGCTTTCCCAGCATTGGCGAGTGTATTTCGCGCACAGCCACAATTACAACGGCACTTGAAGGACCAGTCAAAGGCCAACGTGGTGAAAACAACGCTAACCATTACCGATCACACATTCGTGAGATCATGACTGCAGAAGATACCTCTCTGGGGACGAGAATGTCTTGTCAGGGGACGAGGAGTGGCTCCAGCACCGCACGCAGCACGGGCTTCACTGGATTGTTTGAGAATCATTCCGCTGGGCTTCTCGCTCGCCCGACCTGTCGCCCTGGATTTCATGCTGTTACGGCGCGCGGCGTGTCTGTCGACTGCCGCGGGTCACATGCTGCTTTTTTTTGCTGCAATGCGAGAGTGCGATTTCTGCTACGTTTGGCGCGCCGGGACGATCGAGGGGGGGGGGGGGGGCGCCCTTTGAAATACGCCAACCCAGTCAGAGGGAAACAAGCATCCATACGAATATTCAGGCATCGGACCCCGTCGGAGGGGGACGGGCATTCAGGCAGTCGCCGTGTTGGGGGACCCTATCGGTCCAACGCGCAGGCGACTGGGCGCTAGACGAGTACGCCTCTTCAACATGTAAGCCCGGTGAAGGAATTGGCGCCATCCCTTCGGCGAAAATAAATAATAATCCCGGATGTCCATGCATCATCGTGATTTCAAGGCTTTATGCGGGGAAGGCACGCCGAAACGCTATGCAAAGAGTGCCGCAAGAGCGCATTGAGGATCACTAAATGTTTCAAACATGCTTGGTGCGGGGGTTTGCAGCGGATAGGGGTACATGAAGAGGCCATTTTGGAGATAGCAGAGGGCAGTGGTGTTCTGTTGGCTTCCTAGGGTAATCACTTCGCCAATCGCATTTTCCCTGAATAAGAATATTTTACATTAATTCCAGCCCGTCCGTCAGACACCACAACACTTTTCGTCACATAGCCTGAAATAGAACCCTGATCCTTGCAATTTACTTCAGCAATGGCCAGACATGAACTGCTCCCCCAGCTCCAATTTTCGGAATGGAACCATAAGTACGTTCGTTCTGTAAGTCCGTTACAAATTCAGTTGCCTTTTGAACGGTTGGGTGCATACTTGTTACTACATTACCGCATATGTGCAAGAACTGTGGATGATACGGTCCAGGGGCGCAGAATGGTTGGCAGCGAGATTACCAACAAAGAAAGCATGCCGCATCATCTGTCAATGTTCTATTTTTCCAAAACTTGGCCGTGGGAGTGAAAATTTTCGGCTCACACCATCATCAGGTCATAAGATCAAACATCCAGACACGGTATCAACACAGCTTAAGTGCACTCCACCGCTAAACCCTAACACTGAAGAAGATCGCTCCTGGGACATAACCAGCAAAAACCAAACCGAAGCCGACGGGAGAAGGTCTAGCTCAGCCATATCGGCTGATCGGAGCTTGAGACAGAACAAGAATATAGATACAATTATGCAACTCTGTTCCTATAGCACAATACACTGTCACGTTCTCCCAAAGATCAAAACTTCGCTAGTCCACACGTCCACATTTCATGCCACGTCTTTGGCACCGTTTAAACCACTCCCATTAAGTAGGCGTGTTGCTAAAGCTACAGCAGTGCACTGACGCCAGAGAAAACAAGCTCGCTTAGAAAGGTCATTTGGAAATGTAAGCACAGCACGCGCACGCACCGCCGCACGCAGGTAGCAGCGCTGCTGGTGATCGCAACACCGGACATCTGCCCAGCCGGCTCCCGCCGCACTCTACATGAACATCATCATGCCCATGAAGCCGGCGGCGGCGGCAGACGCGGCGTGGCCGGCCGCGCCATTGCCACGCCCGATCGTCAGCTGAAAGCGAACACGATGTGACGTCAGACCACGCTGACGACATGGCCGGCTGCCGGCATGGCGCACCATCAGAAACGGCCACGCGAAGGGACATACAACCCGGCCGCGAATTCTGCTCCAGAGAAACGTCTAATCAAATGGCAAACGTCAGGTTGGAGTGAAAACCAGGTCAGGTTTGGCTGATCTTCACACGCTTAGACACATATGATTTGTGCATACATGTGAAAGGACGAGCCAGCATCATGTTGGCATCAGTTACCACGCATCCAGCGTCAATTAATTAGGCCAAAGCATGGAAGGCTTCAGCCCCTCGGCCCTCAGACAATGCCAAGTCAACTCCGTCCCATCAAAATCTCGCTGACGTGATATCCCCTCACCCATTTATCCTCGTATGACTTACTCATGGACGAAAGGCGCCTATAGACATGGGTGGGACACACAGACACCCGCTACTGAAAACCAACCATCGTCAGCTGATCTGACCGCGAACTGTATGTCACGAAGGTGGAGTTTTAACACAAAAAGAATCTACACGCAAGAGGGACTACAAACACCGGCCACGGCAACCACAATCTGAACGGAAATCTGCCCGCGGTAAAACGTACACGAATAGCCGTTGGCCTAGGCTCCCGAAGCTGAGCTCACCGTGAACTGGTGCGTGGCGGCGCGGCCGGAAGCGTCCGTGCTCTCGCACACGAACAGGCCCGAGTCGGACTCCTCAGTCGGCTGAATCTGCGCGGAAGAACACAGTACGAGCGTGAACGTGAAGTGCTGTCCGCCTTTGGCATTCAGTCACATGTGGCTGAATGCTACCATAGCTTGGCTACCATATATTGGTACCATACCGCTACCATAGCTTGGCACGGCTCACAACGTAACAACGCGCGGTCGCCGACATCCCCACGTCAAGTTGTGAAAAGCGCGTGCAAGCATGAACATGCGCTACAGTCATCCAGGGTCTGCTGGCTTACCAGCATCTGGAGTGATGACAAAAAGAGCGGATTATGCTTAGGTCCTTGCCTGATACGAGCACGCTGTTCAGGTTCCGGCAGCGACAGCACTTTGGTGGACGCATCACACCCACGCTACTCACATTATTGGTGTCATCAGTTTGTGAGGAACAATGGCGCCGCCAAGGTGGGCCAATGGGGCTTCGGCCCACCCCTCGCCGCCGTCAGGTTTGAGCACAGGTTTTTACCACCACACTATTGAATATAATTCCGGAATCAGGATAACTATTTTGGTTTTAAATCTCATAGCCGCTACCATAGCTTGGGCAGGAGCATGTATTGCTCACCAGCGATAATTTGGAAGCAAAGCCAGTGGATAGCCGAGTGACTATCCACTGGCTTGTGCCAGCGATGTGCGCCAAATAAGAGTCGATCGGCACGGGCACAGCCTGCTTCACCTGACACTGTCATGTGTGTCACGTGTCGTGTATGTGCGTCAGCGACACCGATGCCGGCTAGCGGCGATTCACCGTCAGCACGCAGGCGGTTAGATAGAGGGCCGAGGGCCCCCCGACAGAAAACTAAAATTTAGCGCGATACGCTCTCGCCGAGCCCCGAAGCGCTCCCTTCAACGGAATGTTTCACGGTGCAAGGTATTAAAGCATGCGTCAGACATGATGACATAAGCTCAGTAATAACTATCGGTATACTTTTAAAAGCAAAAGTCTGCTCTAGACCACAAAATGCCTCTGTTGAGTAAATACACTCCTCAATATATCATTGCTTGATTACGTTATCGTATCTCCCGACACACTAATTGAGAGCCAATTAACGGACCTTGTACTTGGAAATCGTGCTCATGAACGCCAGATATGAACGGCTCGGCAAACACATTTGTCTTGGCTTTGATCCCCGTATGACTGATGTAATGGTAGGATTTCACTGTTATCATGACGTCACGGATGCCTGAGTGACCACAGAATGGCCTCGCCGAAATACTCTGCACATCTTTGCGGGCGTGTGGCTCAGAAACTAGAGGGGCTTAGTTCTTAAGAAGGACAGGGCTGTGAACTGCACCGAATGATCTTTAAGACGGCTATTGCAGTTAAAAACCCCATACAAATGTGGAACACTCTTTTCACGAGAATCTAGGCTGCGCCCGTGCTAGGCCCAGCTGACAGCAGCACAACGCCATGCCGAAGGCTGCGCCAAACTGGCAGTGACTCAGCATCCAACACATCGCAAATGCATCAACACGTCAGCTCCATTATGACATGAGATGCGGATCCGACCAATAGATAGAGGCGGCCAACAGAGAGAGGCCCGCGATCATCATGTAGCCTTCCTCCGTTCGCACCGCGGCTATCGCTGCCGGCCTAAGTGATGACGTCACGGAGGCTGACTGGTGGTAACTCACCATCATCACGTAGGCTCCACCGTTCACGTTGAGGTGGTACCGAGGCTCGTTGACTGTCAGCTGGGCACCCCGCGCCAGCTCGCGTTTTCGGCCACCCTCTGAAATCCAGCAGCAGCCGGTCACTCACGTACGAGTACAACACGGGGATCGCAGTGGCAGGTAACACACCGAGGTGGAGGCTGCATATCAAAATTCTGGGATCGGTCGTAAATTACGTCCACGCATCTTTTCACACCCTTTTCAACCCTTCCAACTTATCCCCAAATATGCACTAGGCACGCTAGGTGAAACCTGTCCTAGTTACGCAGTGTTAGGTGCACCCTTCGTTTGAGCTCTAATTGTGCTAGACACGCAATACAAAAAATGCGCATTTTTTGTCAAAAGCGAGAACCAACAGCATCCCGATTTAGGCTTGTGCTTTGTGTATACGTATTTTAGCATGGGTTGCGACAATATCTGAGCGTAACGTTACGTTGGCTGAAACCTCCCTACAATCCTTGTTCCGTTTCCGTTAGGTCCATCAAAACTCCTTCTCCATCCACGCGAGACTAGGTCACCATCCACACACACGCACACACGCGCACACGCACACGCACGACACACGCACACGCACACGCACACACACACACACACACACAAAATATATATATATATAATATATATATATATATAGATATATATTAGTAAAAATAGTTTTGCCTTACTTCAGTCGTCATGCTTTATTTGTATTCACCGTTAAAAGCTATTTTACGGAGAGCAATACAAAATTGTCATTCTTAAACCAAAACACACAACATATATACATATATATATATATATATACATATATATATATATATATATAATGTATTATATGCACACACCCACACCACACACACACACACCACACACACACACACACCATATATATAATATATGTATATATATATATATATATATATATATATATATATACATATATATAGTAAAAATAGTTTTGCCTTACTTGTCGCAGGTCGCATATTGATCAATTTCTCACTTATGTTAGCATCCAACGTTCTAACATAAAGTTTGCGAAGGAGTAGGATGACATTGGCCTTTACGTTTCCTTGATGTGCGATTTCGACAGTTCAATACACATTTTAAACCTCCGTTAATAGAAAGTCGACGTTCACTGGCCTTGGTATGAACTTTTTCTCATTCATTACCGACGTTTTTGTGAAAATGGCCATTTCCAGAGCTTTTTGCTTCAGCTCCAACTATGAATCCTTTTGTTCCGCACTTGAATCGGTTCAAATCATTCTTTCAGGGCAACGGTTTCCCGGATTCAATCTTTAATAATGCAATGAAGAGCTTCTTGGATGCAAAATATGTAAAAGCTACAACCGTTCATAAAGTCTTAAAACTAGGAAGTATTTGGTGCTGCCCTCTTTTGGAAAACGGTCGATACAAATGAGAAAGGAGCATATTCGCCAAAAAAACCGCCACTGAATATCATGGAGTCCTGCATATCCTTGGCAAATCATAATGTGGCCTTTGCGCCTGATTTCTATATTTTCCAAGCTGTCATGTTTACGAGCAGAGAGGTCGAGTTGAATCAATTAAGTGTGATCGTTGCCATGTCTAGAGATGTCGGTTAAATATAACTGTCCTGATGATGATACGCAATATACCGAAAAGTTGAAACGCCATCAAAGTTTGCTGCTCCGTACTACCCGAGGGTGTTTTATGCATGAGGTTATATACATATATATATATATATATATATATATATATATATATATATATACATCGGGTGACGGGCAGAGGCGCCGGCACACAGGGCGCCCTCCGCTGGAAGGTCACCTATTCGCCGATGGGGATGCACGAGCACACTCACCCTGCTTGTACCACACGACTTGTCCGGACGGCGGCACGTAGCACTGAAGGCTGACCTGGCCGCCCGGCTGCGATTGGCTGATGGACGAGGTGCTAACCCCTCCAGTGCTGCTGCTACTGCTGCTGCTGCTGGAGCTGCTGCTGCCACCCCCGCTGGACCAGCTGGAGCCCCCGACGCCGAACATTGTGTCTGTCGGCGGCACAGTACGGACGTATCACGCGGCGTGACATGGTGCCATCCACTTGGGGGATAGGGGAGTCCCACATTGCCAACTACATTCGAAAATCGACCGCACCACTACACGTGGCGCGACTTTGACATGCGGCGCATTCAAATCGACAGTTCAAAGGAAATTGCGCCGTTGCTGCGCCAGCACAAGCTGGCCGCCCTCTCCTGTGCCGCAGCCGCTGCAGCAGATCCGCCTCTCGCCGCTGAACTTATCACACCTCGGTTTGACAAAGCTGACAAAGGCTACAATGGGCAGGGCAGGTCCAGGCTCCTGCGCACACGTATCCGCCCACGTGTAATCTGAGCACAGGACACGTACTCTGACCGCTGGGCGGTACCTTTCCCGGCCGCGCGGCCGACGGGACCGGCGCGGCCTGGGGTTCCCCAGCAGGCTACCGCGGTGGCCACCTGGCAAGGCGGGCAAGCGCGACCTTGAAATCCGACCGCGTGGAACCGGCGCGGTCTGCAGAGGATGTGGTCCATTGGCCGGTCCGCACAAGCAAACCGACCGCAGGACATGCGCGGCTGAGTCACGGGGAGGGGGGGGGGGAATCCTGCCACGGACGGTGGTCACGAGTTCAAGCTCGTGGACAGGCTGGCCGCGCCGATCCTGATGGAGGGAAACACTGCATACAGCTCCTCGCCCGCCGCGTATTGTACTCGCATGGCTACACTGATATGCTAAGAGCGAATATCGTAGAAACGTTGTTGCCAGAATACCTCTAATTCGCCTCGTGTCCCGTACCCAAAACTCCCTCCCACTCGTCCATGTTGTGATGAAGCTCTCGCGGATATTCCAGAACACTCGAGCAGCGCCGCTGTCTAAGCTGCCGCGCACCGGGCGCGGCTGACAATACCTGGCAGGAAAGGCGCGCCACAAAACCATACAAACATACTATCCTCGTATTCCTGTGTCTTTTTGACGTAGGGACACTTCGGTGCTGGAATTGTCAGAATTCGCACTCCGGCAGGCATGCTCTCCGTGCACATATCGTCAGAACAAAACTTACCTTAGCGAGCGACCGTCACAGTAACACAATAACAATAACACACATCAGCATAACACAACTGACTTCAGCGCGCGTCCGTCACAATAACACATCAATAACACATAGTAACAATTACTCCCAATAACAACGCGCAGGAACAATAATCCGCAGCAACCATAACACGCAGTAACAATACACACAATAACAACACACAGTAGCCACAATTCACGGCAATTATAACACACACTAACCATAACACACAGCAGCAATCCACACATTAACCATAACACACAGTAACAATCATGCACAGTAACCATACAGTACTTACCGCACACAGACGTCGGCTACACAGCCCATCAGCTGTTTCTGCTGACCCAACACAGCTGGCACACCAAGTCCACACCGGACACACTCTGGCCCAGCTCAGTAGCACTCACCGTCCGCAGATGTTCCGGCCGCCAGCAGCAGCACCAGCACGCCGAAGCACAGCCGCCCCATTCTGCTGCGTCACAGCTTCTCGCGTCCCTCCCCTCCCGCGCAGCCGCACTGGGCGCGCTAGCGTCACCGTTGCTGCGTCACACCTGATGACGTCACAGCCACCTGCCGGCGGCCGGCCGAAGGGGTTTCCGCCAGGGCCGGGCCGCTCCGCTGAGCGGACGCGTCGGCCGGACGAAAACACGGTGCAGGCGCGGGAGGGGAGCGAGGCGTGCAAATACCACTCCGCGGAGGCGAGCGCACACGGCGGGACCAGCGCAAACACAGAGCCCGCCGCCGACTCACCGCCAGGGGCTGTCCCGCAGCACCGCAGTCCGCCGTCATTTAGGCGATTATCCACAGAGCACGACTCCCAGTCTGAAACTTACAGCTCCGGGCACGCAGCACGCAGCCCACAGCCGGGCATTCACAGGCCAGCGTCGCCATAGGGGGGCACAGCCCAGGCAGCACGTCAGTAGGCTCATGACGCAGCACCCAATCGAAATGGTCTGTGTTCATAGAGCGGTAACGCAGACCTGGCTGGTGAGATCTAAGCGCGCTTACTAATCCACGCATGCGTAAGTTTGCATGTGAGTCATGCGGGTCTCCCAGTACAGGAGAGACGTGCATAAATCGTGTCGCACGATGCATTTATGAGTAGAGGTGCAGCCAAGGGAAACTTCCCCCCCCCCCCCCCACCGCCTCGCCTTAGACACAGATTTTATTCATTTTTCGCCACAGATACTTCCGACAAAACGCTAAAAATCGGCGTTATGCGTCCGTCGCCAAGATCCGCTACCTCCTCCCCCCTAAGAAAATCCTGGCTGGTCACCTGTGTATGCGTAGCCAGCGTCCATAGTGGCCACAGCACCGACCGCGGTCGCACAACGACGACGACAGTGGCGACGTATGAGCTTTATGTTATGCTAGCCATGTACATATCGACGTGAAAACGCAATTGGCCATTTTCCGTCAGGAACAATCGAATAATGCCGGAAACCGCAAACCTACGAAAATGAAGACTGTCAATACGTACAAACACACTTGTCGCGTGGAAAAGCAAAATGACTAGTGAGATCCATCTCATGATTTGAATCTCATTATATCAACTCTGCTGACCTCCGGATGAGGTCAGTCGACTACAATCCAGAACACATCGATGATTCTCAGGATACCATACAACGCACCTAACATAAAACCGTCAATATCTGCAACTATCTTATTAAGTATTACGGTCGAATTATTCAGAGGGCACATCAAATCCCATCAAAAGAAACCATTGCATATGAATGCAACCATTCTATGGTGTCTAAGACGGAGCGACCATTCTGCCGAAGTTACTGGGTCAAGGTCAAGCTTCAACTTTAAGGTCAGATCGAAGTCTACCCAGCCAAAGGGCATTGGGAACGCTGGGATTTACTCTAAACGCATAGAAAGTAAACGCAAGCAAAAAATATTCAGTGTACTTAAGCTAACGTAAAACAGAAAGCAGTCATCCGTCTTGACCACCGCAGCGTTTTATTCTTGTTTGCGTGCGGTGAGGTTCATTTGTGCTTTACACGGGTGCCACATTAACCACCTGAAAATCAATCGAGCTGATCCTGTCATTCTAGAGTTTACACTGACAGCCGGAACGTGAAATCGCGTCAGACGCATGAAAGCTCGAAACATATTCAATGATGTACTGGAGAGAGAGAAAAAAAACTAACTATTGCTCGTTTTTGGTGGGTCTGGGAGTCACCTTACATACAAATGCATCAGATGATATTTTACCAACCACACAAACTGTTTGCTTCATTGGCGGAGGGATCAGTTTTCATTAAGGGGGCTAGTTCCACCTTAGGTTGAGAGTTATTCAAAACCGCTGTGCTTACTTCGTCTTGCCAATTCAGCGTTAGAAATACTAAACGCCGTCGACAACAAGCAATTTGCAAGAAATGGATTATATCGAATGACATTGGCATACCAGGCTAGCCCACAAGAGGGCAAAACACAAATTATTTCGCCTTATTATTCTCATGTTTTCAAGGCTAAGACGAATCACATCCCTATTTGTGAGACCACGAAAACTGTAGCAGCCCATCGGGCGGGACTTCTCGGGATTTCTCCTAATGACTTACACTGGAATCGATTAGCTGATCGATTTATGGATACCCGTCAAAATGGGGGAGGCAGTTCGGTAACCTCTCAAAGATTGAAGAATTCCCTCTCAAACATTCTGTGTTCGCTTACGCGAGTCAGTTACCAGGGCAGAATGCGCGATATTCCTTTTGGCTCCACTTGTCTCTGTACCTGTTACGTTTCGGCGCCACGCACAATATTGAAAATGCGAACAGATCATTGTAATGCTAGACACTAGAGTAGCCGTAGACAGCTGTCATCGACATATTTGGCTTCCATTCATATCGCATGTCAAACGTCCTCGATGTGGGTAACTATAGAATATTTTTCATTCAATTTAAGTGCCCCAAAGAACTTCATGTACCTCTGCTTAAGTCGTCAGGCGAGATCTCAGCCGAGAGTCCTGATTTCCAGTTGATGTGCTGACCCGCTGCTGTTTATCCTATACTTAGGGGTGCTACTTAGGTTGCCGAATGCGTTTACCCGGCCTCGGGCGGCAGTTTTGAACGGGTGGAAAGAATGAGAAATTATGTAAGAAGTTATGAGAGTATTATAATCATGTCTAATTTGACAATCTTTCGTAGACCTGGTCATTGATGGATTTACGCGACTTTTGGCAGGGAATATTTTGGATGGGCACACTAGACCGGATCGGATTTGGCGCTTGTCAAAAGAGAAGATCGAGGGATTAATTCTATTCAAAATTAATATAATGAAATGACATGTAACTGGAACCAAGAATGTCATATACCACCTGCCCAGTTTTGCCGTCCAGACCGTCAGCAGGTGCGCTCGATAATATCTTGCGTATTTAAATCTGCATACACAGAATGCGACATCAGCTTTCAAAAACTAAGTAGCGAAGTTGCCGATGTAAATAGCAGGTGTGGCGTGAGATGACATGAGAGGTGAGATATTCTCTGGATGCGTTTGCTGTGGCGATATTTGTTGGCATTGTCTATGGAGCAGGACTTGCGTGTGCCGACCGAGCCGCTGGTTTTCAGACATCAGCAGGCGTAGTACCTGCAGGAAATGGCAGGGGGGGCGGGGGGTGACGCGATAGGCGCCATGTGTGCTGAGTAAACGGCACGCATGGCCGCGGCCTACGGCTCATGCAAGTCAGTGCGGTGATGCACTGCATGGGCCAGGTGTCAGTCACCCGACCAATGCCCAGCATCCGGCCGGCACAATCGGCACATCGAGAGCAGCTCACGTGAACGGAACCGGATGCAGAATTGGCTGAGAGCCATAAAAAGGATTGCAGTGGAAATGCACGTGAGATATCACCTTATGCATGTATTGCCCCTGCAAATACACAGACATGCATGTGCACATACATACCTATGTACAGCGTATATGTATATATATATATATATATATATATATATATATATATATATATATATACCATATTTGTGTGTGTGTGTGTGTGTGTGTGTGTGTGTGTGTGTGTGTGTGTGTGTGTGTGTGTGTGTGTGTGTGTGTGTGTGTGTGTGTGTGTGTGTGTGTGTGTGTGTGTGTGTGTGTGTGTGTGTGTGTGTGTATCTTCGTATATATTCATGTATAAATACATTGCTACCTCACATGTTCGAACGGCCTGGACGGTTGCATGCCCCGCGCCAGGGATGTAGTTTCTTAGTCATTTCAGGGAAGGTTTCAGACCCCCCCCCCCTCCCCCACTTGAGCTTCACCCCACACCCCCAGCTTTGAGAAGACACTGGGTCAAATCCGGGGAGAAACCCGCTTTTGGCGCATTTCGGGGGCAGATTTCTCCCTTTTTTAGCTGTTCACCTCCCCCCACACAAACACTCATCTTGCGAATTACGGTGCGCAGTTGTGCGTATGCTAAAAAGAGGCTTCGAAATTGCGATAATGCATTCTTACCGGTGGACAGGCATCATTAAAGAACCACTTTTTCCAATGCTGGCATACGTTAACCTGAACTCAAATTTTCTGGAACGGACAAAAAGGTTCACAGATCAGACACGGATTAGAAAGTCGATTGTCACATCTGCTCTTCGTTAGCTCGTGTCCCAGGGCCCGTGTTTTCCAGCCACCACACAGCCCCGTACTGTGACTGGCATCGCGTAAGTTTGATAGCCGTCGGCCATTGCCGACTCCAAATGAGGAAAGCATGATGGGCATACACTTCCTGAGCGTGTGCCGCTGCACCTTTGGTACCTTTAGTACCTGGGCGTGTACCATCGCTCCTATAGTACCTTTGGTACCTGGGCGTGTGCCACCGCACCTTTGGTACCTTTGGTACCTGGGCGTGTACTGCCGCACCTTTAATACCTTTAGTACCTGAGCATGTACCGCCGCTCCTTTGGTACCTCTGGTACCTTGGCTGTGCCTCCGCACCTATGGTGCCTTTGGTACCTGGGCGGGTGCCGCCGCAACTTTGGTACCATTGGTACCTGGGCGTGTACTGCGGGACCTTTGATGCTTTTGTTGCCTGGGCGTGTGCCGCTGCACCTTTGGTACCATTGGTACCTGGGCGTGTGCCGCCGCACCTTTGGGACCTTTGGTACCTGGGTTTGTACCGCCGCACCGTCACACGTTTCGTACCAACGCTCGATGGGCGCGTTGCCGAACGATGATTATACGTGGTGAATAACACATGGCTGGCTCTGTATGGAGCGCCAGAGACTTGCTTCTAACTAAGTACATGTGCATTACTGTTCTGGAATAATTGTTTCGAAAACTTTTCCCTATTTGCTTTTTGCCCTGCTGATATGACGACCGGAATGACGAGTCGCGACAGTCTCGCGGACGTGGCCCTCACTAGTCGAAGGCGCCTCTTGCGTTGAGAGCTTGCCGTCCAACTTCGATGCAGCACGACTGGCCATAAAGAGAGCAATTCCATGACAGTGTTAACTGGATAGACTGTCGACAGATAGCTCTCTTCACAGTCGCAGCGTTTTAGTCTGCTGTACAGTCACCC